ATGAGCCGTGATTACTCGGTTAAGTTACCAAAAGGATTCATGCCGTCTGTGGCTAGTCCAAGTCTAACATTTCTTGCATCACCGCCAAAACTTGGAAATAGGCGAATCAATTTTCTTCCACTCGTGGAGAATTGGCCGGATGACGAAGCAATCCATCACGTTTTTGTGCAGCTTGAATGCCATATCATATTCTTGGCATCTTCTCCATTGGCAAACAATCGCTTCAATCTTGGAATAATTGGAAGATACCATATAACTTTTGCAGGAGGTCTCTTTCTATCAATACATTCGCTATTATCATCCTTGTCTTTCAATTTGTAACGCGATACACCACATCTTGGACACTCATGTAGGCTTTCAAACTCTTTTTCAGTATAATACACAATCATTAGGGCAAGCATGTATCTTTTTATACTGTAAACCCATTGGACAAAGTATTTTTTTGGCTTCATACATACGATCGTGCAAGGTGTTATCGCTTGGGAGCATATCTTTCAAAACTTCTAGTAACTCGATGAAACTTTTATCACTCCAACCAAATTTGGCCTTCAAATTGACCAATCTCAATACAACTGACAATCGCGTGAATGTTGTACATCCAACGATACAGAGGTATCTCTCGAATCTATCTTCAATTTATCATAGACAAGCAAGCATGTGCTTGCAGTAAAATTCTCTTGACCTACATCACGAATCATGTCTTCTATTCGATCTTCCATTGTCATATCCTCATCTTCCTCGACTTGTGTTACTATTGGTGTATCAATCACTTCACCATGCCATGTCCATAGGATATAATTCTTCATTATCCCATCACATAAAAGATGCTCCCGTATTGTCTCTAGTGTGTGTACTCTCCCATTAACGCAGCTTAACGCATGGACAATACAATTTTCCATTAACCTTGGTGCCATTGTGTTCAGCAAATCGCAAAAATTCTTCAACTCCATTCTCATACTCTTGTGAAATACGACTTGCATTTACCCAACTTCGATCCATTTTGGAATTGGAGTCTACAAATGAGAAACCCATAAAACGATTAATACTAATAATCGTTATCTCTAATGAAATCTATACCAAAGTAGATTAATTTGTAACGAAATTTCAACAGAATTTCGTCTATTTTTTGGTCAAAACCAAATTTGTATAAATTGAAATTATAGAGTTTTCATTGTTACTACCATCACTTATATAACTACATTGTTATATGTAGTTTTCAAAATTCACACTTCATGATTAATTTCTAACAAAAATCCTAGCAGAGTTTCCTTTGTTTTTTGGCAACAATTTTAAATGACACAATGAAACCCGACAATAAAAAGTCCCACTGGCATATTCAAGCAGTTCAAGTATAATTGTACACATCATCAATACATTGAAAAAAACTATAATATGACTAAGAATTGAATCAACAAGCTAACGGCAAATGACTAAGAATCTCTACCTATGAAATGTAGTAAGGAAACATCGTACTCGTGGGTTAAGGCAGCGATGAAGGTGTGCACCACGAGAAACAGAAGCAGCACGCACCGGGGTGGAGGTGGAGGATGCAAGTGTGGCGTTAGGGTCGACGCCGTGGTGAGCGGACAATGCAATGTGGGTGGAGGCCGCGGTGGGGGTGGAGGGTGGGCGACTAGCGTCGCGGTGGGGTAGAGGTTCCGGTGGGGTGGGGTGGAGGTGGAGGCCGTGGTAGGGTGGAGGTTGAGCCCGCGGTGCGGCTCGGAGTCTCGCGGTGGACGGTGCGGCGCCTACCGTCGCGGTGGGGTGGAAGCTGCAGTGGGGTGGAGGTGCTGCGGCGGGGGTGTCACGCGGTGAGCGGTGGCGACGTGAGGGAGGGCGTCCGGAGAGTCCAAAGTGAGGGAGGCCGCGATGCTGGAGAGTAAGGGGAGTGGCCGCGATGCTGGAGAGTAAGGGGAGATACAAAATGGTAGCCTGGGAAAATGGGGTTTCAACGTCGGTTATACCCACACCCGACGTTGAAAGCCCATGCAGATGGGTTTTCAACGTCGGGTGAAGGCATAACCGACGTCGAAATCCTACTTTCCACGTCGGGCATGCTAAAACGACGTAGAATGTGTCAGAATTCGACTTTCAACGTCGGTTGGTCAACAACCGACGTTGAAAGCATATTTAACGTCGGGTAAGATATAACCGACGTTAAACAGTGACGTTAAAAGTATATTTTCCAGTAGTGTAACTAGCACCGACATATTAACATATATATATATATATATATATATATATATATATATATATATATATATATATATATATATATATATATATATATATATATATATATATATATATAACTAGCACCGGCATGTTAATGAACCACGAAAGAAGTTCTTAGACTAAATGTCCATAATCTGAATCACATTCCCTAGTATGTTATATCATCCAACAATTTTATTAATGTAATTTATTGCAATATTTAACCTTAATTCTTTCAAAGTATAAAAATGACAAAAAAAAATTGTACTTTGCATTCCCATGGTCAAACTAACTCCAAAATGTATTGTCAAGTGCCCCTTCATGCCCCTTAGACTTCACTCTCTTTACCTGCATGAAAAGCTCATGACATTGTGTATAAAACAATATTAAATAAGGTTTAATTATAATTTTGATATTTTATGTTGTAATTGTAATTTTTTATCATTGTAGATAATTTTGACATTTAATTTATTTTAAAAAAAGTTAATAATTTAATATTTAATTAAATACACATTTATTTTACTTTTAATTTTAAAAAACCATTAAACCACAGTCAAATTATATTTAATAACAAGTTCTATAATTTTGTATTTTTTTTAATGTTGAATACCATGTATTGTTTTTTTATCTCAATGTGCAGTGATTAAATGATAAAAAAATAAAATAAAAATTTAGTAAAGTCAACAATAATTAAATTTTAAAAACTTTAAATTGTATAAAAAAATCAAAAACTAAATTTTAGATCATAAAAAAAAATAAAATTAAAGAAAAAAAAACTAAAAACCAAAGTTGCTGACTTTATAAATAATAAAAATAGTTATTAGTAGAGTTTTTATATATAATAATAGGTCAAAATTGGTAGATATTTTAATATATATATATATATATATAAAGATAAATGAAACATGTTTTTCCTTTTAATATAATAAATAAAATATATATTTATTCATTAAAATTAACTGATGTATTAAACACAAAAGATGCACTAATTGAATTCAATTACCACTTTGGTTTAACAAATTATTAAAGTGGGGCAAAACATTAAATTTATATTAAAAAAATAATATATATATATATATATATATATATATGAAAAATATTTAACCATATAATATACTATATATCAAGCATACACTTGTGGGTTATCAAGGATAAATAATATATTATTATTTAAGTTAATAAAGGAGTGATTTTACCCATATGAGAGTTAAAGTTGTTTATTTTGAATGTTCAAACAAATAAACTTAAATAATACAAAGTCTACTAAAATATCAAGGACTTGAGGGAACGATGAGAGATCAAGAAATACGTATGGTTTTCTTTAATTCAGTTTAAAAAAAAAAGACAAAAGACAAAAATTAACGGTGGCAGACACGAGTGACAAAATTCTAAAGTTGTCGCTCTGAAAAAAAAATCTTAACAATGCATGATCAGTTACTGATAAAAAAATTGCATGTGCAAGTGTTTTATTAAGAGAAGAGTATAGAATAAATTAGTATTTTATAAAGACACTAAATAATAATAAATAATATATTTAAAAAAATATTTAAACAGAAATTTCTATATTAGTTTAGTTAATTTTTTACTTTTCAGGCTTTTCTTTTTCTTTTTCTCCATTGATATTTTCTGTTTTTTTATTTATTTATGTTATTTTGTCATTTAATTTTATTCTTTTAATTAAAAATATTATATTTTATTTTAATAAAATAGATCTTTTATTATTTAAAATATATATTTAAATTATTTAAAAATATTATAATTTAATATATTATATTTAAATCAATATTATATGATAAATTTTGAGATGTTATAAATATTTTTATATGTTATACTTACATTAAATTACTGATAAATTTTAACTTATAAATATTTAATAAATTAATAAATAATTAATAAATAAAAAGACAAAAAAATGAAAAATAAAAAAAACTTTCATATCAATAAATTAAATTAAATTAATTAATAAAATTTTTATTTAAGTATTTTTTCTTTTAAATATATTATTTATAGGTTAGATTTATTGTTACATAATGTTTTTATGTTATGATTTTATTCACATTAAAAATTATATAAAGATATTACACTTTAAACTAAAGTAAATTATCTTACATATGGCTATTTATTTTCCAATTAAAAGTGTAATTGTCTTTTACATATGACTACTTATTTTTCACGATATCTTTTTTATATATGCTAGGCCGAACCTAAAAGATATCGGATTTGGACCATCTAAAGCACACCAATCTCAATACTCACCACGATGAATCCTATATCAACTATAAATAGGACATATCATAACTGAAAATAGTTTCGATTCACCTTGTTTTTATATTTATTTTCCTTGTGGAGTTTACGTCTTGCGTGTGTGATTTACCTTGAGCAATGTCAATGGTTTTCACGTGGACGTGATTCGTGAGTTTGAACTTTGAAGACATTTCAAACACCCATTTCGTCAAGACCTATGTTACTATGTGCCAGTGATTACGGTCACAAGCAAAATGATCGGTGAATTTGAATACAAAATAATCGTACATGTGAACTGCATGACTCTGTCTATACTAGGTAAAATAAGACACAACACAACTACCTCGATTCTGAGCTACAGTACAATGATAGGAGTATTACAGCATGAATGGTGAAGTGAAATGAAAAGTTGTAGACAGAGATTAAAGAAATAAAGGAATCAATCAACCTGAAACTTATTTTCCAACTATACTTTTTTTCAAAGAATTATTTGCAAGTATAGAGGACACGTTGTCCTAAAAGGTGTGGGGAACATGAACATATTAGTGTCCTTGGCCAGGGCTTGGACCCGATTCTTTAATTCCGCCAAGGGTCTCACTGTTGGTAAATTTGTGACCCTCTCCTCCACCGCTTGGACCGGAGTCCTTGATTCCACCAAGGGTGTTGCTATTTGTAAACTTGTGACCCTTCCCTCCAGGACTAGGACCTGAGTCCTTAATCCCTCCAAGGGTGTCACTATTGGTGAACTCGTGTCCCACCCCTGGGCTTGGCCCAGGATCCTTCATTGCTCCCAGAGCCAACCAATCAAAGAAGTCCACTTGATCCCCTGGAGTGGCAGAGTTTGCCGTCCCAATGATACTCAGTGGACGGGCTTCTAAGCCCAACAAAGCAGTGTTCATCAATAAAACGAGGACTAAAAAGGCGTGAGTTTTCACCATGCTTGTCATCTATAATTTCTTGAAAAGAATACAAAGAATGTAGAGTTGGTGTGTTTGTTTGGGAATCTAGGAGACAGAGAGAAAGAAAAAGAGAAGAAGGGATTTTGTGTTTGATGGTTGTGAAGCATTGAGACGTAAGAGTCCTTTTTATAGAGGGGGAAGGTGTCGACTAAAATATGTCTAGCATGAAGATTCAAACGTGGAAGACGACCAAAAACTTGTTTCTACTAGATTCAAACTTCAAACAACGTGAGTATATGATTTTTCTCGCGGAGGAAGCAACTGAGGTGGTTCCGAATGAATGATAGTCAATTTGGATTGTAGATTTGGAGAAAGGCTTGCGTCACTGAACACTTAGTAAAGAAAAATAGGAGGAAGGAATTAGAAAAGGGAATAATTGCGGGTCCAAGTTGTTTAAGTTGGTAAATAAAACTCGTGTCATTAGGTTTCCTTCGTGCCCACTGCTTTGGAGTCGTTGGGAAGTTAGTACGAGCCTACTACTTCAATTCAAAACCCCAACCCAAAATAGCACATTAGATCGCATATATTAATATGTTCAAATATATAATATGAAATACTATACATTAATAATAATATTTTATTTTTGGAAAGTTGAATCTGTGGAAAAATAATTCAGTTTGAGTCAGCAAAATAATTGAGTGTAAATGTGTAATAAAAGAAATTGAATAAACATGCCTAAGAAAACAGGGGAGAAGGAGAGGGATGCGTTCGCAAATGCCACCGGTAAACTCGTGCTTATGGAAATTATTAATTTATAGTGCGAGAAATCTTCTCAAAATAAATAATTAATTAGGACGGTTAGTCTATGACATTTTTTTATCATTATTTATTTTTAATAAATTTTTAAATAAATAAATATTATATATTTATTTTTAAAATGATTTAATCTTTCATTAAATTAATTTATAATACAAAATTTTTTAAATAAAATATTTTATTTTTATTTTAAACATAATTATTATTTTGCAAAATAAATTGAATTATAAATTTATAATTAATATAATCTAAATTTATGAAAATCATAATTTAAATAAATCCACTAATATAAGTCTAATTTAATTTCAGATATAAATATTTTTAATAAAACTTGATTTATTTATCAAATATTTGATACCTGTCTAACGATCTAAGTCTAAGACAAAGTTCCGTCACACAACAAACAGTCACCTTAACAAGTGTTTCTGACCGAGTCGAGTCCAATAACAGTGACAGTTTTGATAGCCAACTCTGCAATCACCATCTCCATCTTCATCAACGCCATGGTTAGTATTTGGGACTGGACTTATTATATACTATAAAAATTGAAAATAGGTGCGTTGGGTGACGCTAAATTCCGAAAGTCGTGGCCCAGATTTGAGTGGATCCGACGGATTATATGAAGACAATTAATTTTATTTTGACAAATCCTTTTGGCCTTTTTAAATCTAAATGTTAAATAAAATTTAATAAAAACGTTATTTATAACTATCAACTTACTTTAATTATACAAATTAATAAACTAACTCAAATTCATGGCTTGCATAAGGATGAGTTTGGCCAATAACTTACTGCCCTATAGATTATATAAAACTATCACGATGTAATTTAGCGTGAGCCAAGTCAAATGGTCAAGCCAAACTATACTGACTTTATAAGAATCAAAATCATGTTAAACAAGAAAACAAAAATACTTCTACTTTTCCAATACACTATACTTCCTAAGATTAAGGCGGTGTGTATTACTGGAGAGGAAAATTGTAAATATGATATTAAATATTGATTTTGCGCTTATGAGCTTTTTAGGCAATATTGATAAATTAATATTATAATTTTGTATAAATTATTAGAAATTTATATCATAAAAGTGATCTCTTTTTTATTTTTTATTTTTGACAAATATTGATTATAGACAGAAATTTTAACAGAAAATATTGATATATTATTAATAATAATAATTTTTTGTATAAAATTATAATATTAACATCGATTTATAATATTTATAGGTAAATGTTTGTATGATTTTGGTAAGTTTATAATTATTATTTTTTTAGGAATTTTGTTATTGCTTTTCAAGATATATGTATTAATAACCATAAAACTGAAAAAAATAAAAATAAAACTAATATATCCCTTATATCTCAACTAATATCTTTCTCGTTATCTCTTATACTCTCGTTACATCTGTTTAATATAAAAATAGTATATATATTTATAATAATCTTATAACATTCATTTTTATTTTATTTTTAAACTAATATAATTATTTATAATTTATATATGACTTGAAAATCTAATTTTACGGTTTACTGAAACTATAAAAAGAAAAAAATACAAAATTTTATTCTAATATTGACAACTTGTCATTTAACTACTAAGAAATTCATATATTGAGTTATAGAAAATATATATTTACATGAAATCAACTCCATTAGTTAATTAATATCTATGATTATAATATGATGTTTATTCTATTTCCTAATTTTGAAGAAAAACATAAACAAAAATATTTGTAACTTTAAACGATAAATAAGATCGAAAGATCCTAAAAACAATATAGATAAAAATTTAAACTATAATTTGTTAGATTTAAATTTATAATTTAAAAGTTATTTGTTCTCAATTGTATATAAATTCTTAGTAGGATAATATAATAATACCCGTAATTTAAGGTTTTAGGGTTTAGAGTATATTTAGTAAAAATGAGATAGATAGAAAATATATCCTTTAGTATCACATTTAATAGAAATAATTGATATAAAGAATATAAAAAAAATGTTATTTCCTCTTAAAAGAATTTAATAATATTCTTAGCTTAAGCCTTATGATGATTAGAAATCATTAATATAGAGTATATAAGAAGAAAAAATTAATTTTCTCTAGAGTTTCCTCTTAAAAAAATTTAATAATATCCTTAACTTAAATCCTATATTGATTAGAAATAATTAATATAAAGAGTATATAAGAAGAAAATTTTAATTTTCTCTGAAAAGAAACTAATAATTCTCTTAATTTATTTTCTATATTTGGTAGAAATAATGAGTAATATAAAGTGTATAAAAGGTAAATAAATTTATTTCCTCTTGGGAGGGTTTAATAATACCCTTAGTTTAACTCTCTTATTTTGGAAAAATGGATAGTATAAAGAGTATATAAGGATAAAAATTTATTTCCTCGGACAACTTAATAATAACCTTAATTTAAGTTTTATATTGGATATAAATAAATAATATTAGGATTACAGAATGATAAAGTTGTTATCTCCTTTAAGAGGGTTCAATAATATTCTAAATTTAAGTCATAAATTGGTTAAAAAAATTTATATTTTATTTTTAATGTTCATCAACTGATAAAAAAATATTATATATATTGAATTTCAATTCTTGTAAAAAAAATACGTTGAATTTTAATTAAATATTTTATATTTTATCAACAAAATTTATTATATTGTTTTCATAATAAATTATTTTTTAATATTATAAAAGATATAAATCTATTAAAATCTCATTCAATTTTTACTCTAACAATAAATTTGATCTTAAATTATTTTTGTAGTTCTTACCATCTTTTTCCTATTTTCTTCTCACAATCTCACGCATTTTCAAATATGAAATATTTTTACGGAAGAACATATTTTTCATATGCAAAATCTCTTACGAAAAACACATGTTCTATGTATTTGAATGGAAATTGTTTTTGTTGGTAATTGTGGATATAATTTTTTGATTTTTTATCATTTGCTAACAAATTTCACTACAAAAAAAATAATGTAATCCGTGGATAATTCCGTAGGTAAATTATATTAAACTTAAAGAATTGTTACTAGTAAAAATTGAACCTAGTACCTTAAAGTTAAAAACTGATACTCCAACCACTAAACTATTAGGATATTCTAATAATAATAATTTACAACTAAATTATACTTATATTTATTCGTGTAAATATATAAATATATAAATATATAAATATATAAATATATAAATATAAAATATAAAAATATAAAATATATAAATATATAAATATATAATATATAAATATATAATATATAAATATATAAATATATAAATATATAATATATAAATATAAAATATATAAATATAAAACATAAAATATAAAATATAAAATATATAAATATATAAATATATAAATATATAAATATATAAATATATAAATATATAAATATATAAATATATAAATATATAAATATATAAATATATAAATATATAATATATAAATATATAAATATATAAATATATAAATATATAAATATATAAATATATAAATATATAAATATATAAATATAAATATATAAATATATAAATATATAAATATATAAATATATAAATATAAAATATATAAATATAAAATATAAAATATAAAATATATAAATATATAAATACATAAATATATAAATACATAAATACATAAATACATAAATACATAAATACATAAATACATAAATACATAAATACATAAATACATAAATATATAAATATATAAATATATAAATATATAAATATATAAATATATAAATATATAAATATATAAATATATAAATATAAATACAAATATATAAATATATAAATATATAAATATATAAATATATAAATATATAAATATATAAATATATAAATATATAAATATATAAATATAAATACAAATATATAAATATATAAATATATAAATATATAAATATATAAATATATAAATATATAAATATATAAATATATAAATATATAAATATATAAATATAAATATATATATATAAATATAAATATATAAATATATTTTATATTTATATATTTTATATTTATATATTTTATATTTATATATTTATATGGATAAATATAAATATAATTTATTTGTAAATTATTATTAAAATATTCTAATAGCTTAGTAGTTGGAATATCGACTTTCACTCTACGAGTCCTGGGTTCAAATCCTGCGGGGAAGGGTTTTGTGCTCTTAATCTAATAATAATTCAAAGTTCGAAAATATAATATAAACGGGAGGAGATTGTAATAAATAAAAGTATTTTGTTTAGGTGAGTCCATTACCTATGATTATATTCCGTAGGTAATTATGTACGAAAAATAATTCATAAGTAATTACCTACTACCAACTTACATATGACCGAGTTAGTTTTAATAATTCTTTCCCGTTCTCCGTCTCGTTCGGATTAGAAATTTTTCAAAATTATAAATAACGAATTACAGTTTGTAAATTATTCTGAATCATAATATTGGAATAATGTGCTTTTAAACTTAAGAATATTTTAGAATAATAAAATTATATTAAACTGATAAGGTGATTGTAATTAACACAAATTTTTTAAATGATTAATTCAATACATGGAATCATATTCACTTGAATATGGTTTTATAAGGAAGTTATCTTGCAAATTATCAGTGAATGAAATAATATTAATTAATTAAAATTTATTTTGTTAAACTTTATTTATTCCTATATATGTACACAACACGGCAAGGCTATTTACAACCAAGAATTCATGCAACGAATATTTTTATGCAATAAAATATTTAATACATTTCTAAATATTAAAATATCATAATTATTTTTTTATTTCTTTCGTTGTTATCTCTAGGAATTGAATATTAAATAATGTTTATTTATTTATTTTATTTTATTTTTTAAATGATGGACTAAAACCAGCCAATCATATTCCCCTGGTTTTTCTAAGGTACTTATTTATCTCACAAACAAATACATTTCATGAAATAAACAAAGAGTTTTAAAAAATTAAATATTTAATTAATAATTTTATAAATTATTAAATTACATGCTTTTCTTTTTCTTTTAAATATATAAGCATATTTTAACTATTTTACTATATTTAATTATATTTCCCAAATTACTCAAATTTTAAGAAACTTTTCCTACAATACCTTCATTCTTAAATGATTTTTCCTCACAAACACTCACTCAGAAGAAAACTATTTTGCTTCTCTTACACACTGACCAAAGTCTCAAACCATGGCAGTAGATGAAAGAGTTAGTGTTCTAATGGTGTCAATGTCCTTACAAGGCCACATTAATCCCATGTTTAAGTTCGCTAAACACCTTCTCTCAAAGGGTGTTCAGGTCACCATCGCCACCACCGAAGATGGCCGCGACCGCATGCTCAAGAACACAAAATCCTCCAACCTCACAGACAACACAAACCTTAACAATTCTGGCAATGATTCCGGAATCAAACTCGTTTTCTTTTCCGATGGCCTTAGCCTCGACTTTGACCGTTCCGACACCGAGTCGATGGTCAACAGTATCCGTGAAAAAGGTCCCAAAAACTTGTCCACCCTCATCACGAACCTCACCAAAGTTCATAACTATTCATGCGCTATTGTCAACCCCTTCGTGCCTTGGGCTATCAATGTGGTTGTGGAGCATGGTATCCCATGTGCGCTGCTTTGGATCCAAGCTTGTGCTTCGTATTCTATTTATTATCGTTACTTGAAGAATATTGATCCTTTTCCTAATTTGGATGACCTCGATGAGAAAGTGCACTTGCCAGGACTACCACCTTTTGAGGTTAAGGACAGTCCTTCTTTTATACTTCCTTCCACCCCTTATCACTTCAGGCATGTCATAAGGGAATTGTTCGAGGCTGTGGATAAAGTGAATTGGGTTTTAGGTACTTCGTGTTATGAAATTGAGGAAGAGATTGTGAATTCCATGGCCTCACTAACTCCAATTTACCCTGTTGGACCATTGGTGTCACCTTTTCTGTTGGGAGAAAAGGAAAGAAGTGATGTTAGTGTGGACATGTGGAGTGCTGAGGATTTCTGCATAGAGTGGCTCGACACTATGCCAAGTTCTTCAGTTATCTACGTGTCTTTTGGTAGCTTGCTTGTGTTGTCACAAAAGCAAGTAGATAACATAGCTGCGGCTCTGAAGAACAGCAACAAAGCGTTTCTGTGGGTGATTAAGCCGAGTGATGGAGAGTCCCATGATGCTGTTGAATTGCCAGTTGAATTTTTGGAGGAAACTAAGGAGAGAGGTTTGGTGGTGAAATGGTGCCCTCAGGAGAAGGTGCTAATGCACCCTTCCGTGGCTTGTTTCATAACCCATTGTGGGTGGAACTCCACGCTTGAGACTGTGGTTACCGGTGTGCCTGTTATTGCTTGGCCTTTTTGGACGGATCAGCCAACCAATGCCATGCTTATGGAAAAGGTGTTCCACAATGGCGTGAGGGTGAAGTGTGGGGAAGATGACATTGTGAGCACAGAAGAAATTGAAAGATGCATTAAGGATGTTACGGAGGGGCCAAGAGCAGGGGAGATTAAGAAGAGGGCAATGGAAATGAAGTTGTCATCACATAAAACATTACAAGAAGGTGGTACATCTAACAAGAATATCAATCACTTCATCATTGACCTGATTGCTAGGTATCCAGCTAGGGCTTGATCATCTACATCCTGCGCTGTGTTTCTAAAGATGACAGAAAAACACAATCAGACCTATGTTTTTCTATCTTGCTTTACGATGCCATATGTATTGGTCATTTGATAATAACTGTAGTTCATTTACATATTTGGTTGTTGTTTTACGCTATTGATATTTCCCATTTTATTATTTTTCTTTTAATTTATATTTCATATTAATATTAATAATGTACAATAATTAGTAGAACTGATTATTAAAAAAAATCTTTTATGATATGATTTAATTTAAGTTATAATTTTTATATATTTTCACAATATTATTTGAGTTTTTGGGGTCCATCTTTCATATAAACTCTTACCAAGATTTAAAAATGAATCTATGTGTAATTTCACTGTCTAACCAGAAAAAAAAATTGGTCAAATATAGAAAACGAGTCGTAAATGTTGAAGGGAAGGGTAAAATGACAGAAAAACAGAATGTTAAGAACTCACAAAGATTGAGAGAAGGTGAAGGTAGAAATGGGCGTGCAAATAGGCCTTGGTGATAGATGAAGAGGCAAACTAGGTAGGAAGCTAGTTAAGTTTCTTTAATGCCATCCTTTGGTCACCCAATAAAAGGCTACGTTCCCTGTTGTCTACAACCCATCAACCATCAGAACCAAAATCATGCTATCTCACCAAAACCATTTTTTAAAAAACTGATTTTTTATTCACCCTTCATCAATCTTTTTAAACTGTGGGAGAGAGAAAAACATAACAAATAAATATGATAAGATTTTTTTTCCCATTAATTTCAATTGCACCCTCTTTTAGATCCATACTAAAACATTCATTGGTTTTACTTTCCTATAGTTTCCTTCAAGTAATTTGCTACTTTCTAAAGACTAAGGAATACATGATCACTATGATGTCAATCACATTATTCGTCTCTAGTCTTAACTTGACTAATTTATGCACCACTAAAAATAAATTATCATTATTAAGGAAAAACAAATATTAGATATTAAGATTGGCCAATAATAGTATTTTTTAAACCAAAATAAAACTAGTCTAAAGATTGTAAATCTATACTATCACGGAAAAAAAATTATGACACAACAAAAAACTAAAAAGTATTAATTTAATGAAGTCGTCGTTAATTTTATTTAAATTAAGAAAAATTTAAAAGAAAAGTGAAAAGTTTTATTCATTGTTTGAAAAATTAATTATATAAATATATTTTTAATTAGTGTTATTGAACGTTATTTTTCAAATTATAAAAAAAAATCAAATTTAAGATTAGTGTCAAGTCGATAACAAGGATGATTTTTTAATTCATATTAAAAAATTAAAATTTAGGTCAAGATTATAAATAAATTTTTTCAAGTTAAACTAAGATAACCGGTGATCATTTATGAATTTGTAAAAAAATATAAATTTATTTAAAATTATAAAAAAATAAGTGTATTTTCAGTTAGATCATCAAGTGTTATTTTTTAATTCATGCAAATTTCTAAATGTTTAATTAAAGTAAACAAGAATGTCATTTTTTAATTTAGAAAAAGTTCAAATTTAACTCAAAGTTACAAACCAAATCTTATAATATATTTTCAATTAGGTTCACCGTTTATCATTTATGGGATCTTAAAAAAAATCTCTAAATTATGAAAGAAAAAACTATAACTTCAGTTAGGGTTGTCGAATGTCATCATTTAATCCATATAGCGATTAAGATATCCAAGAAGGTTTGTTATTGTATTCATAAAGAACTCAACACAATCTCATAATGTATTACCAAAATTGCTAATGATTATTTTTAGATTCTAAAAAAATAAATTATATATATATATATATATATATATATATATATATATTATATTTATTTGATGTAAGCTTAATTTATCCTGATTCAATTCTTCAATATTTATCATTCTTAAATTTATAAATAATTCTAAATTTAACTCATGATTATGAACCAAGACTCATAATATATTTCCAGCCAGATTAATGCACGTCAATTATGAATTAATAACAAATTTTAATTTTTTTTCAAAGTTATGAAGGGAATATGTCTATAATTTAAACTACAATCATCAGTGTCATTCTTTAATTTATAAATAATTTAATCACAACAAAATTTATAAAAAGAGCAAAACTTGTGACTAAACGACATGTGTCTAATTCCTTGGTTAACAAGATATGTAACGGTGTTCATATAACATTTTTTAAATAATTTTTCTTGCAACAATTGTTTGTATTTTATTTAAAAAATTATATTTCAACATCTTGAATAATTATTATTGTTTGATGAATGGATAATTAAATTTTTTAACATTTATTTTTATGTTAGAATGGATGTTTAAGTTAAATATAACAAAGAGAAAATTAATTATTATGAATTTATTGATAAAATAATATTTGTTGCTAATATTTTGCCAGTAATATAAATTTATTAACCTACTTCTAACTAGGATTTTTTTCTTTGTTTTTTATTTAGTTGTATAATTTTTCCCATTTATTTAGATTATATGACTCAAAATAATAGGTTTTTCAATAAAAAAATTATAAACAAGATTAATGAATACTCATAATTAAGAGTGTTGATTTATATCAACAATAAAATAACATAATAAGTGAGTATAATTCTTTCTTACTTTACTGAACTATAGTTTATAGGATTAAATTAGTTATCTTAATATTTTTTAAGATGATATTATAGTCAATTCTAACTATATTAAGACATTTTTCGTTAATAATAATGAACTTAATAATTTGTTATTGAATTAATTACACCATTCATATTCAATATAAAGAGATGTGATAACCAAACCCTCTTTCATATGAGATGATGTAATAAAAAAAGTCTACTCCAACATGAAGAGGTGTGACAAAAAGTTATCTCCATATGATGTATTGAAAAATTTCATATCTATTAAAAATATAATAATATTATAATATAAAAATATATGAAATCGATATGGTAGAATTAAATATGATATCTCATATTTTTAAGCGAAAATAACAAAGGAGTACAAATTACAAATATTTTTATCATAAATTTCCATTTAGTTTCATATTTTGTTTAAATTAAAATATGGATAATATATTAGTAATAAAAATATGGATACTGCGCTAGAGCTTTTTTTATATATTAGTAAATAAATGATATTTTTCTTACAATTTAATGTTTATTTTTTTCAATCAACACTAAAATATCTTATAGGGTACTGTACTTTAAACTATTTTATACCGATGAAACAATTCTACATCAATATCTGTTTCTTCCAAAACTTTGCATCTTAGCTATTATATCTGCAAAGCATGTTGCCAGCTATTAGGAAAATTCCTTACGTGCCAATATCAAGTAAAAAGGCAAACACGAAAATAGGTGAACTCTTAATTCTGTTCTTAGAAAATTTGATAAGGACAAACCACCTTTAACAGTACAAAATTCTACCCCAATTCTTATTCTGAATAATTACACATGTCAATATTATAGTGATTTTTTAGGAATAATGTGTTTATATTTATGAACCGATGTTAAATAATTCAGTTTTAAAGACTAAAGTTTCGTGATCTTTTTTTGGTAAACAAATGATGTATGGGAGTGGCAAATTTTTGTTTAATTCAATCCCCGCGTGTAATATTCATTTTAAACAAGAATAGGATGGGCTAGTCCGCGTTACATAATTGGGTTAAAAATCTCAATTCGGCCCATTTAGCCCAGGTTAAGACCTTTGTCATTGGCAACTAACGTCATTTTCTTGCTGTAGTTTATTTTATTTATTGATACAAATACTACAATTGTGTTTTTTGTTGAATATATTATAAAATAAAAATGTGTTTTCCATTTTACATTAAAACCATGTATAAATGTATAAAAGAAAATCGTGTATTGAAAATATATTAAAACCTAATTCCCATCAGAGATAACGAATACTATAATTTAAATTTGTTTCTTAAAACACATAATCAATAATGACTTTTATAAAAGATTAATATAACTTTTTAGGTATCGGTATAAGAATATAATTCATGAATACATTCAACTATTATATTTTATAGGGTTTAATTTTATTTAATGCATTTAATTAAAATTAGATAGGATAACGATTTTATAATATTTTAATCTGATTAGTTCAACTTAATGGAACTATATAATGAATATATAATAAAAAAATAGTATTTGTTTAACAATTTTACCATAAAAAATATATTTTATTTTACATGCATTAAAATTATTATCTTTACGATATAATTATTATGAAACAGTAAAAATAATTATTTTGAAATGTTTATCTTCAATAAATATTTTTTCTAAATTACTTTACTCGATCCTATATTGAAAATATACAAATTTATCCAATCCAAATCAGTTAAATTTCATTATATTTAATAATAATAATAATAATAATAATAATAATAATAATAATAATAATAATAATAATAATAAAGAGACTAAACTCAATTCAATTACACCACTTACATATGTAATTTAGGTATATGGCGAAATGTTATAAGAAAATAGGAAATCAGAAGTAAATATTAAAAAAAATGATTTTAAATCAATTTTTATTAGTTAGTTCTTTCAGTCTAATCAAATAAGTTTTTTCAATTTATCGATTTATAATTTTAAATATTGATATTACATTCTTTTTCTTCGTCGAGCAATCTCTTTCTATTTTTATGAAATAAAATCGGATGATACTATTTCGCAAATAATAAATTAATTATTTTTTATAGTTGTCTTTGTTAAAAAATCTGATTGAACATTTCAAATGGAATCTCTGTTTCCTAATCACTATTTGTGTGTGATCTTGGTCAAGTGATCAAATCCAGTCTCACCAAGAAAGTAAATAAAAAAAAAAAACTGATGCGTTCCCCACAAAAGCAAAGGCACAACGTAGTAAGGAAATGAGTCACGGCGCTGAATGATTGAACAAGACGCAGAAGATGGATGATTAGAGGAGTTGTTTTCTTTGAAAGGAATCGTGGCTGGTGAAAACTAGCCACTCTTTAAGACTCCAACAAATTATTCCCAGCGATGATCAATGGTGCCCACTACCTATTTGTGATTTGTTTCCCCGATCGAAGTACCAACTTAAAGTTATATCTATGTTGCTCACTACCTTCTCTTTCTGCTTCTTGTGACATCCATTTTCTTTTTCATTCATATTCTCCGGCTTCTTTTCATTCATTTACACATTTTCTCTCTTCTTATGATTTTGGATTCCATTTCTATATAATATATCAAATACTTCCCATATTTAATAAAACATGTATAGCTGAATTGTTTTTAACTTGCCATTTCAATTAGTTGCTCACATCGAAAAAATAAAGAACTCAAAATTATATAAATAAATATGTAAGTGAGACCATATTAAAAAAGTATAAACATTTTTTTAAAATTAAATTTAGTTTTATCTAACTTTAAATAATAAAATTATTCTCCTAATTTTATAATTTCAAAGAAAATCTATTCAAAATATTTTAAAAATTCTATAAGAAGAATTTCACCTCCAAAGATTTATTTGAATTCCCTTACCGGACTTTTGATAACACACAGATACTTTTGAGTTCCTACCATTTTTTTTTATATCAATCACCGTCTTCTCTTTCCCTTTAGATCATGTCATGCGAACCCTTATATATATATAACTTTAAATCATTTGAATTATTTAAAACAATAACTAGACACTTTTTTAAAACGTTTTTATTATAAAAATATTTTAAATAAATACTTTTAGTTTATAATATATTGTATTTTATATTAATTTTTAAAATATTTTTTTAAATATACTTAACTTTATGATAAGTAAACAATTATAAAATAATCATGTAAGTCTTGTAATATAGGTTTAGTACAGTAAAAAAATTCAAATATTTTTCTATCGCAGTTTTATATCTTATCTAGTTTGAATGTCATAGTGTATTTAGAGGTAAACTCTCACGTCAAATTCTTATGAAAGACTATCCATCTTATTAAATAAAGGAGACATAAGGAATAAAATATATTAATTTTGTAAAAATTAATCAGTATTTATCAAAATAATAATATTTTTTTGTCATCTTTATTAGATTATATATATATATATATATATATATTTATTTATTTATTTATTTATTAAAAACATTATTTTATTATTTAGTAATAATATAAATTAGTGACAATTTATTTTCTTAAAACCAACCATATAAGCTTTACACTCTACATCAACCAAATGTTGAATGATTTAAAAGTTAAAATGATTTTATCACATTACTAAATATTTATTTTTTATACAACTTTTAAGAAATATATTTATAATTTTTATAATTTTATTATTTTAAGGTATAATAGGAATGTAAACACACATAGTACATATATTTCTCATAATAATATGATTATAAATCTAATTAAACAAGTCATTTTTAGAAAAGATTAATGAACCCTTTGGTTAATTATCACATATTACAATTGTTTCCCCAATTTAATAACGTAATACAAATATTTTTGTTAAAAAATCGAATTTGTCTAAACTTACACTCACACTTTTTCAAAGATAGAAGACACATTTATATTAAAAACTATATATAAATTTATTCAATTGTATAAAACTAACTTAAGATAGTTATTTTTATGTGATAATTAATACGACGAGATATTGAAGATACCATATATGTTATATGACGGTTAATATTATTATAATTTGTATTACCTTTTTTATTAATGATTTTTTTAATATGATGCAGATGATTAATATACATGAAAAAGTTATTATATTTGAAATGTTTATGTTATTTAAAAAAAAATCATATTTTTTTATTGTAAAAAATGGTCAGTATGGGGAAATAATCTTTTAATAGGCTATTATGACTAACTAATTGTTAGAATATGACATTTTATTATTCTCACTGGGAAAGAAATATAAAGGAAAATTTAGTCATTAATGTAAACGATCACTTCGATATTTACTTATCTTTCTTGTTTAATTTAGTCATTACACTCTTACATAGTTTTAACGACTCTATCATATTTCTTTAGATTTAGAGTGTGTCGAGTGTATTGTTCTTGAAGCTGGCATGTTTGCTCTAAATTTCACTCAAATTTTGGTACGTTCCTATTTTGAGTGGTGCCTAGCAATTGCTGGAATTTGTATGATGCAATTATATATAGGGATAGGATTCCCCTATTCATTGATATTATTGATGGTCCATATTCAGAGTTACTATTACGTGTACAACTACCATATTGTAATGAAAACTCTTAATAATCACAGAAGAGAATGATGTAAAACTGGGATGATTGAATCCGGTTACATATATATTGTTTCATTGATAGAAACTTGTTATTTGAGGTGTTGGGAATACAGGAAAATATGTGACGAGTTTCTGATCATTCTTTGGTTCAGTAATATGAGTGATATTATTAAGCTTGGTAATTAGAACATGTTCATGTTCATGTTCATGTTCATGCATGGATATCATGGCTTAAGAGTGGATTGTAAAATTATCCATCTGATATTATATATTATTCAGAATGGTTGGGTGAATGAGTAGTGTTTGCATAGTAATAACAGATTTTGTTTTGTAGCTGATTAAGTCCGGGCGTGGGAGAGAACAGAAGTGAAGAAGATTTTTATTTGATTTGTTGTTTGTGTAATTAGGTGTGCGATGGGACAAAAACTAAAAGGAAAGGGGTCTGTGAGCAATGTATGTAATATGATTAATATTTATTGTTGATGAGAAAATACATATTCCAATCCATTTGCTTCTTGTTAAAGAAACCGAGATTCGTCAATCTTCCGGGCCTTTAAATTTTTTAAAAATAAACTGGAAACCACCAATTGAGGATTCTGGTTATCTTGAGCTTTGATGCACCATTCTGTCGTCCATCAATTGAGAAAAGTGAAGAAAAGAATAAATGAGGGAAAACACACTCCCCACACCCCTCCATCTCCCTCCACTGATCTGTCCACGCTTACACCGGTCAATTGTGCTACAATTCCCACCCCTTAATACTTTCCTCCTTATTCTTAATTTTCTTTTATCTCAACTCTTCCACACTTGGAAAAAGAACAAGACACTGGTCAATTCCCTAGAACTAAGCCTTTGGGCAAAAGGCCAATTTGTTAATTGTTTTCCTAGCGACAGAAAGTTTACAATCGAGAATCTTTCCACCTTTCCTCTAAGTGCAATTTGTGAGGATGTTAACCAAGTCCAAAGACTCCGCTGCTAATCACCTTAGAGCGTTGATTCCAGTTCCACTTATGCATCGGGTACTCTCTTTCCACGCTAAATACGTGCACCAGAAACTTGGGACGATTCCACCCTCATTATTTCCAAGCCAGTAGGAGGTCACTCAACATATACCAAAGTCAATTTTTGGACCCTCTCAAGTTCTAAGTGTGGAACTGCATAGCGATGACTGCGCCTGATTTTTATTACCATAAAACAGTTTCAGTCAACCACTCCCTTCAATAGGTCCCACACCGAAAACCCCTTCACCGTTCATTTTTCCCTTCCTTCCTGCTTCCCCTTAATATGTAAAGCCCCTTCCCTTCTCCATTTTGAGATGCCAAACCACACCAATCTTTTCATCTCCACCCCTTTTATTTAGGAATAAGCACTTCAAGGTTCAAACCTTGAAGCTGCATCATCCCTTGTTGCCCACTCCAGAATGAGGCTCTCTGTTTTACTTCTACTGTTCCTCGCCGTTCTGGCTGCCACTAGACCAACCCTTGTAGACTCTAGACCCCTTCCACCCTCACCAACGAACACAGATACCGCCCCTCACGAGCCTCTCAAAGTGCTTCGATTTCTCATCACTTTAGTCATGACACAGAAGCCCAACACTAACAGGGTTTTGATAGAGAACCAATTCCACACCATGTCTTCCGGGCCTAGCAGAAGAGGTTCGGGTCACTAGCACCGTGTTTCAGTTAATCACTATCACTGGTTTTTCATTGCTTTACTACGGTTGGATTCACATGATAGGGCATCTTTGTACATGAACTATATATATGGAAAGTGTAACTTCTGTCTATAAGGTTTTATGTGTTGATTTTTTACAAGAACAAAAGTATATTGGGAAAGAAAATCGAATTTGGCACATTGTATGAATGAACATCAAAGTTCTTGGATTGATAGAAAGGGTGAGTCTATTGAATGTTAAAGCTCTCAAGACTCCAGTCTGTTCTTATTGGTAGGATTGATATTTTTTATTAGATTGGTTCCATTGATAATCAAGAAGTCAAGGTGTGAATTTCATCATGTCATGGACAGTGCCAAAATTCTGAGCATCCGTACACCTACCCTGTAAAGAGCAGGTTTGGTTCAGCGTCTACGATCCGTGTTCATGTGAAATTCACGACAAAAAGTTAACGTAAAAGCAACTAATAATTGTTCTGCCGAAGCACCACGCGGCTTCAAACATTAGGTTAATTTGTTATGGATCGTAAATATTGGTATTGCAGGTGCCACCAGCACCACCATGTGGCAGTAACGAGCCATTTAGGCAGAAATCGGGTATGTACATGGATCAAGCAATAGGGTTATATGGTTTCGCGTCGTGCATGCGGTGTTACCGGTAAAAGCTAATCAGTATGGAGACTAAGCAAACCTCCAAACCCATCAAAATCAAATGGCTAAATTTTTCCCCAATAGATAAACTTTTAAGACATGTTAATTGAAATTGGCACGGCCAATTTTCTGTTCTTGAGGAGAAAAAAGTTTCAGCGCTTGTAGTTGGTCACCAAACTATGACAAGGTTGTTTGACTAGATCTTGTGAGATCCGATCCGACCTTCAGTTTGCATGTCAATATTAATGGACTATTATTATTCCTGCGTCAATCTGTCTCTGCCAAAAGAATTTCGAATTCAATAACAATTAAAACTTCCTAGTGTAGTCCCTCTTTGCTTGAATTCAACATGATACTCAGACATTAGACATAGTTCACCATCTTGTTCCAGAAATTCAACAAAAAAAGTTATTTAACTATGCTTGAACATGTATGAGTGGGCAATGTATAATGTTACAAGCTTAAATCATGTCTCTTAATTACTGGAGTCAGAACATTCTCATGAATCTCGACTCCGTGTAGATTGTTTACCATTCACTAAATTGAAGAAAGATATTCTCCATTGCGCGTTCAAGCTGATACCAACAGCATACTAATACTCCATATAGTTGTATTAAAACTGTCTAAAAGTTAGACACACACATGTTAGTATTTTGTGTCAAATCTCTCTCGCTCTCTCCATTCTACACTTTTGTTTTCATGAAAATTGAGTTGCTTTTTCACTTGTCTTCTGACCGAGCTAAAGTAGATTGTTCTAATACAACCGCAAAGTAAAAGCAAGAACGATCATATGTAGCCATGCTAGCCATCTATGGCTAATGATGTGGTGATAAATAAATTAAAAAATTAACATTTCAAGCAGCTTCACCAAATAATCATTTTGCTTCTTTCCGTTTAAAGTTTTATATCACTAATTAAGTTTTTATATTCATTTAAAGAAAAAGTGTAAATAAAAAGTGATTCATGCGAAGTAAGTATATAACATAAAATTTATTGTTTCATAATAAAAAAATAACAAAAAATATATCACTTTTTTAGTAGGTTACTTTTTACTTATATATATAAAAATAGTGATAAATGTGGAAGGAAAATACTATTTTTCAAAATCATTTTCTTTCGTCTCTCTGTAAGATAAATATATAAATAACCGTATGATTATACAATTATTTAATGTTAATTAATTAATCTATTATTTTTTAAATAGAAGAGTCTATATTTTTATTTTATTTTTCTTTTCTTTTTCTTTCTTTACAATTGAATATTGGTTAAAATAATTTATTTTTTAAATGAAAAAGTACATCAATTTAATCTTAATCACAAAGTGTGCCTATAATGACTATTATTATTCTATAGGTATATGCTCATCTGTATGCACTACTGTCCACGATATTTTACGACGGTTTATAAGCCTGCTGTAAAGTAAAATAAGTTATTAGAAAAAAAGTATTTTCTTACATAAAAATTCTTTCAATCATTTTTTTAACTTAATTATTGAAAAAAGTGTCTATGTTTGTAACTATCACTTTATGTCAAAAACTTTTATTTTCTATTGTAATAAATATAAAAGTTTCCAACAATATTTCGTTAACGAAGTTGTAGTTTGCATTATTATCTCATTCTTGTTTCTTCTCGATCAACTTAGAAACTTTGACTATTTTTTTTATTGTTCTTTTAGCACAACTTCTACATCACAAAATACTCTCAAATTTGTTATCCACCTCCCAACTCGTTTTCCACCTCTCACCTCATATATATATATATATATATATATATATATATATATATATATATATATATATATATATATATATATATATATATATATATATATATATATATATATATATATATATATATATATATATATAATTTAAATCTTATTCTCTCTATATTTTTTTTATTAATTAAGAATAAAAAAATAATAAGTTAGATCAGATTCACGTACCAATTTGCCTAAAAAATAATAGAGTATATTAATATTTTAAACTCGTCAACTTATTTTGATTCGTCTCGCTTAATTCGTTGACTCGTTTTAAAATAAATATTTATAATTAAAATTAAAATAAAAAAATTATAATTAGAAGTATTATATTTTTTGTTATATTATTGAAATATGTAAATATATTGTAATATTATAATTTAAATTATAAAAATTAATCAATTAAGTTTAAATTATTGATTGTAATTATTTATTTTAACACAAAAATATAATAATTTTTTAATTTATTTAATAAAAATACAAATTAATAAATAAAAACTTAACTATTTTTAAAAAAAGTACATATAAAAAAAATTATTGGCGAACTAACTTGTCACCCACCTTCTAGAAGTGTGGTGTTTGATCTTTTGAGGGGGACAAGTCTGGAAGTGTGATGTTGGATCCTTTAATAGGGGCAGATTATGAGTCCTTATATATTGTTCAACTTTCTCATTCTTAACTCACACTTGAATTATCTAATAATGTACATTCGACTCTAATACTATTTGTGGGACCTTTTGATGGAGTTCACAAGGGAGAAACAACACCAATGAAATATGAGTTCAACTCATATAATAGATTGACACCACTCTCAACCTAAAACTTTAAGGCATTGGGTTATAGATTATTCTTTTAATGGAGTTCATAATGGAGAAATAACATCAATGAGACACTACTACAAAATATGCTTTCAACGTCACCATTTAACGTCGGTTAAAGCTGAGCCGACGTTAAATGCACTTTCAACGTCGGTTCATCTAATGTGTTTTCACCAAAAATTCTTTTAAGTTAGAGAATTGTCACTGGCAGGGTTCGAACCCAGTACTTTAAAGTTGAAAGTTGATACTCCAACCACTAAACTACTGTAATTTTCTGATAATAACTTACAAATTAATTATATTTATATACAAATAAATATATATTCCGTATAAATATATATTTATTTATATTTTCTGGAAAATGTTTTTATTTTTTTCAGCCAAAAATTCACTTAAGTTAGAGAATTGTCACTGACAGGATTTGAACCTAGTATTTTATAATTGAAAGCTAATACTCCAACCACTAAACTACTCGTAATTTTCTAATAATAACTTACGGATAAATTATATTTATATACAAATAAATATATATCTCGTGTAAATATATATTTATTTATATATTTTTTCTGGAAAGTGTTTTTATTTTTTTCAGTAAAAAATTCACTTAAGTTAGAGAATTGTCACTGATAGAATTCGAATATAGTATTTTAGAGTTGAAAATTAATACTCCAACCACTAAACTACTATAATATTTTGATAATAATTTACAAATAAATTATATTTATATACAAATAAATATATATCCGTGTAAATATATAAATACAAATATATTTATATATTTTTATGTTGGATGTGAGGGCGCGATCGAGGGTGAAAGTGAGATTGACTCTCGTTTGAGTGAAAATACGTTAAAGCTCACGAAATTCACTCGTTCAAGCCTAGCTTGAGCGAAAATTGGTATTTTTCGCTTGAGCGAATGTGTCACTTGAGCGAATGATGCGTTTTTCAAATTTATTTTATATCATTATATAAATAAATTATAAATATTATATTCTGTCATTAAATTATAAACCCATATATAGAGACTCGCTCACAAATTTGGCATTAAATTTTGAAAACCCACTCGACACACACTTTCACCTTCGAGCGTGCTCTCACATCCAATATATAAATATATAATTATATAAATATATCAAAATATATAAATATATTTGTATTTATATATTTACACGGATAGATATTTATTTGTATATAAATATAATTTATTTGTAACTTACTATAAAAAAATTCGAGTAGTTTAGTGGTTGGAGTATCAGCCTCCAACACTAAGGTACTGGGTTCGAATCCTGTCAATGACAAAAAAATAATTTGGTAATGCTTTAAACTTAAAAAAAATATGATAAATAATAAAAATATAATATAAAAGAGAGGGAGATTTCTAGATAAATAGAGGGGTTGGAAATGTTGGAAATAAATAACAAAATTTAATTTGAAAAATCGGACTTTCAACGTCGATTCTGGAACCGACGTTGAAGGCCTTATTTGTAGTAGTGATGAACTCAACTTATATAAGGGATTGTCACTACTTTCAACCTAAAACCCTAAGACATTAGGTTATAGGTCATTTTTTCATATATATTGTTAAACTTTCTCATTCTTACACAATGTAGGACTTAACTTACATTTGGATTCCCAATAGATGGATTAGGATATGTAACCCATCATGATTGTGGTAGGTCAGCTCGTCCCGCTTTATTTTTTGTGGGTTAGAGTTGGGACAAACCAAAATAAGACAAATTAACCCGTTTTGTTATCTTTACTATTAATATCTTTTGGGATAATTTTAAGTGTGTTTGAGACATTAGCAATTGAGAGAAATACTTTGAGAAGGTCTTGCAAAAGATAAAAAAGAAGAAGAAGAAAAGAATCAAAATACAATAGACAAAGGAAGAATATGAGAGTTATAAAGGAGAGGAAAGAAAGATGTAAAAAAAAGTGAAAATACTAAAGTAAAATTGAATAGAATGAACTAATTAAAAAATTTAATAAGACTAATTATAACAATTTTGTGTATAATTAACCGCCATGTACCATGATAATTATAAAAGAATTATCAATACAAAAATAATAAATGACAATTTATTTTATAAATAAATTAAAAATAATTTCAAAATTATTATTATATATTTTTTAACGCGACTCATATATAACTACTAATAAAAAATTTCGTCTTTTTCTCTATTTGATAGTAGTGGTACTATTTTATATTAGTGATTAAGTGATTTGTTTGAAGGTGAATTTAAATTAAAATATCTAAATTTATTTTAGGAAAAAAAAGTTAGTGATTCAAAAGGCATAAAAGTCTTATATATTATTGGAATTTAGTATTGAAGAAGATGCTTTAATGTATCAGGCTAATTTAACTTTATCCAATTTTTTCTTCTCATATTTACATATATTTAAATTAATATATTTTTTAGACTAATTCAAAATATTTTTTTATAAGTTATATATAAAAAATTAAGATCTTCAAACAAATTAAAATTTTTAAATAATAATAATGATAACAATAAATTTTTTTCAAATCAATTGTACTCTCTTATTTTATTTTTTTTCACTTTTTATTGTTTTTTGCTTCTCTCCCACGTATGCACAATATTGTACTCTTTTATTTTTATTGATGCAACCATAAATACTACAATCCTATACTTTCACAATTTGGAATGAATCACTTGGAAAGTGATAATTGCCTTCATACAAATTACACCAACTATTATCACAATTACACATCTCCAACCTCATGGATTTTAAAATTTTCAACACTTCTAAAACTTCTATAAATAAAGAACAAAAAGAAAGGGAGGAGAAGAAACCAAAGAAAAAAAAAATTGAAGTAAAAGAAGAGAAACATAAAGGAATAAGGGAGAAGGTCAATATAACAAAATAAAATTAGAAATTGTAACTCACAAAACTAGAAATTGTATTGCTTGGGGGTCGGGGGAGGCTGAGGGTGGATGGAAGGTGTTGATATGACATGTGTGCGGCGTCGAAAACGAAGATCGATACATCATCCTCCATGAAAGCAAATGCAAGCAAGTAATTAAGGCATGCTTTTTCGATAGTTTTGTTTTGGAAATTATATTTCAGAAATGCATGATTTTCATCAACGTTTTCAATATCTAAATTCTTGAATATTTTTGAAAATTATATGGTATGTCAATGAAAATTAATTTCAAAATTAAATTTTCATAGTTAAAGATAGAGTATTATTGAAATGAGAACAGACAAAAATAAATTGGGATGCGTAGAGCGACATGATCCTTTATCTGATTATTCATATATTTAGCTCTTGGGCTACCAGCGGTGGCGGTCCAGTCCAATACAAATCTAACTTAGTGAAAATAATTGATAATCATTCTAATTTATATTTTCAAATAAATTATAATTTTTAGTTTGATTATATATTAGATTAATGGATTAATTTGGTAGTTTAAAAATTTTAAAAATATTTAAATAAAGATAAAAAATATATTTTTAAAATTTAAATTATATTAATAAAATTAATTTTTATTTAATGATTTAATATATAAATTATAAAATAATAAATTTATTATCATTATTTTTTAATTTATAATCTAAAATAATAATTAATCTTAATTAATATATTTTTAATAAAAAGTTATTAAATAATTTATTGTAATATTTATTTTTTAAATAAGTAAATATCTTGTCAAAATAATTTATAATATACATATTTTTAATAAAATAATATTATTTATTTTTATTTTAAAATAACTATTTTTTGTTTTACTAACTTAAATTTATATAGATTATAACCTAAGCTGACAAAATAATAATAAATTTAATTATTATTTTTATTTAATTCAATTTATATCATACCATTTTTTTTTCTATATACCTAACCTAGAAGTACATTAAATTGTGACAACTAGAATGCTTCGAATTTACCTGAACTGGATATAAGAGTTTCTTATAAGCCAAAAATTTCCCTGACGTGATGAAGATTTGTGTTCAACATTTCAACAAGGTCACTTCTCCTTTGTATTTTACATGTTGTAATACTTTGAAAATATTGTATAATAAATTGGAATAGGTTGCAATGATAAAATGGATCAAGAAGGTTACGTTTTAGATTGTAAAATGTCATCTCTTTAACAGAAAACAAATTTTATATATATTTTTAAAATATTTAATTATGTAAATATATTTTATATATTTATTAATTAATTTACATTTCTTAAAAAAATTGAAAAACTATTATCCATAGTTAAAATTTAATTATAAATATTTATGATTTAAATTATAATATTACTAAATATTTACATCTTTCAAACATCATAATAAAAAAATAATATATATATATATATATATATATATATATATATAATCTCAATAAATAAGAATAAAAATGTTTTTTTATAATCTAATACATAAAATGAATTATTATTTTAAATTATAATAAAAAATAAAGAGAAAAATATTTGAGTATATATATATATTATTTATTTTTTTCATCAAAGATGGTTGATGAATTCCATGATTTTCTATTTAGATTTATTTATTTTAATCATTATATTTTTTTATTTTTTTATTTATTGATTTAAGTAAATTTAAAAAGAATTGTGTAAATGAGTAAATAGTAGAAGAACTGTACAATGAAGAAGAATTTGTACTTCTAACATTGAAATCATATTAAGAAATATGATTTTTTTTTCTATTTTTTAATACTTTTTTGTTTTGTAGAGAACTAGTTGATTATTCAATTTCACTTTTTTTTTATATTATTTTATTATTACTAAATTAATTTTAAATAAATAAAATATTTTATAATAATAATAATAATAATTAACATTAATAATACTAATGAATAAAATAATTAATTTTTATTATAATAACATTAATATTTATGTATAATAAATATAATAAATAATAAATTAATTATAATAAGTATTTATTATTTTATTTATGAATATTTCTATTATTAATATTTTTATTTATATTAAAATGTTCATAACTAGTTTTTAGTAATATAAATTTTATAATCATAACAATATTAAAAACTAAAAAATTTATTAAGTAATTTTTATTATTAACAAATTAAAATTATTCATAAATAAAATAACTAATACTTATTAGTATTAATTTATTATTATATTTATTATAATTATTAATTATATTTAATAATAATAATAATAAATATTCATTATTTTATTTATTAGTATCATTATTAATATTTTATTATTAAGGTTAATTATTATAAATTATTTTTTTATTTATGATAAATTTAATAATAATAATAATAATAATATCAAAATAATAATATAAAATTATTAAAATATATAAAAAGTAAAATCATATTTTTCAAGACAAAATATATTAAAAAAAATAAAATCGTATTTTGAATTGACGTAAAACATGACTCATCATTACGTAATTTTTTAAAAATTTATATAAATAAGTAAATTAAAAAAAAATACACCTGGTGTGTTTTCCATGGGTTGTTGGTGTAAAAAGAGGAAAAGTGTAAATTTGACATTGCTTGATAACTGAAAGTCTTGATGACAGTAAACGGCCCTTAACTTGTATACAAAATATGGAATAACTAATCTTCTAAACAACATTTTAAAATTTTAAATGGTTAATTTCTAACTATATTGTGAATAAGAAATTGTAATAACCTACCCATTGCATCTGCTAGAACTAGAAGTAAGCTGTGGGTTCCTCATTCAGCCTGAGGTACATCTTTCTTAGTTCCCTCCAATGCCTGGAAGCCAGATGACAGAGCAAAGATCCCGTCTTGAAATTCTTGAAGTCCTTGTCCTGACCTTGGCTCAATGCTTTCTTGTCAAGGGTTTTTCACATAAACAAGTACCCAGTTTGTGTTTAATCACTATAACAAAGTAGCAGCTAGGCCATATGACATTGAAACCCAAAAAGGAGAGAATGAAAAACGAAAGCATGTATTTTATACAGCATGGTTAGCCGCAGTGTAGATAGTATATCCATTGGTGCAAACTTTCAAACATGTGAAAAGGAACTTCTTAAATAGTAATTTGTTGCAAGCATAGAAATTGACTATAGTAATCAATGGTTTTACAATTTCTATGTAACGTTATTTTAAGGAGAATGGACTGAGAACAAAAACTAGAGAAGAAAAAAAGGTTGAAAAAGCTATCTCAAAAGCAGCTACTCTACTCAAGACATTTGGGAATAGATGACTGCTTCGAAGTGGTCGATATTATCTGGCATCGTCTATTTCCAACTGGGAGAAAACGGAATCCACAGCACTATGGGAATCATCACCCCTCACAATGGTATCATCCATTTCACTTAGTGTGGAGAGTGAAGGAAGACGCCGAACATTGGGCAACTGAAGTGATGCAGAAACACTACTAGAACTATCCTCGTACGGCTCTCTCTGTATTGCATTTGCACCTCTCTGAAGCTGCAGCGCATACTCCAAGTCCCACAACACATCACCCATCGTTGGCCTATCAGAACCATCATCTTGCAAACATTTTTCTATCGTCTCACTAAATTTTCTGAGTGAGTTTTGATCAATTTGGTCCTTGATGGAAGGATCGATGATCTCTTGGAGTGTCCCCTTGTTTTTGCAAAGCAATCCCCATTCAGCCAAGTTTATCTGATCTCTTGGAAGAGATGGGTCAATCACTGCTCTTGCACACAACACTTCCAAAAGAACAACCCCAAATGAATAGACATCAGATTTTTCTGTCAGCTGTTGCGACCTGAAATACTCAGGATCAAGATACCCAAAAGTGCCTTTAACACCAGTGCTGACATAAGGTTGAGGATCAAGAGGACCTGACCTTGAAAGACCAAAATCAGCAACTTTAGCAACATGGTTCTCATCAAGCAATATGTTTGTGGACTTCACATCACGGTGAATGATTCCCCCAGCTGCTCCTTTGTGAAGGTAGTGAAGTCCTCTGGCAGCATCAATGCAAATTTGTAGCCTCACCTTCCAGGACAAGCTTGGCAAGTTTGTATTATACAAATGGTCCCTGAGTGTCCCTTTTTCCATGTATTCGTAAACCAGTATCATCTCCAACTTCTCATCACAATACCCAATTAAGGAAACAAGATGCTTGTGCCGAATCTTAGACAAAACCATGATCTCTGTCTGAAATTCTGGAAGTCCTTGACCTGAACCCGGCTGACTTCTTTTCACAGCCACTATATTGCCATTCCTGAGAACTCCCTTGTAGACGTTGCCAAAACCACCCTTGCCAATTAGCTGACTTGCGTGGAAGTTCTTTGTCGCCAATTGAAGATCAATCAAGGAAAGTTTGAGCCCAAGGTTTATGTTGGGAAGGGGAGAGCCATGACTGGTTATATCAGTCAATCTGCTGTGAGAACTCCCTCCAGCATTAACGGGAATTGGCAACCAGTCCGAATTTTCAACGGGCTTTTCCTTCCTCATTTTAAAACACCAAAGAAAACCAAGTAGCGTCATAACAAAAACCAAGACTAAACCTCCGAGAACTGAACCCAGCACCACGGGAAGACTATTATGACTGGAATCAGATTCCAGGTCAGGGGGAACAGAATTTGATTGCTCAATCACTTTCATTATTTCTAGCCCGTTTAGAAATGCATTTGGTATTTCAGCGGTTCCATTAGGTGTTAGGCTGACCCGAATATTCCCAAAGCCATCAGACTTCACCACAAAATCATAATAATAAGGGGCAGGCAACAAGTTAGACACATTTACGTCACTATTTATCTGCATGACATGGGCGTTGGAAATGGAAAGTTCAAAGTATGTAAGGCCACTTATTGAATTCCAATAGTCACAGAAGTGAAGCCGAAGGAGATGATCTAAGTTATTTTCCACCGGAAGAGCCCATGTTATGTTTAAAAGTCCAAAGTCTCTGGCACTGTCAGAGATGTTATTAGTCTCTTTAGCAGTTCCATACACCTCAGTTGGTGCAGTAATTCTAGTCGCGTTTGGACCATTGGAGTCATCACCTACATGATACCGAATTTGATCCTGGTAAGGGGAATGGTTCTTGGCGTTTACTGGATAAGAGAGATAAATATCATCTGGAATCCAGTTTCTCAATAACATATCTTTGGTAGCTTGGCCACCAACATTAAGCCTATATTTGGTCTCCAACACCCGAGAGTACAAATCTCCGCTGTAGGTAGATAAACCTCCAATAGGAGTGAAACGCGCCACAGCATCGGAGATCAAATGGAGGGGTAGTACGAAGAGTTCTATAGCATTAACAAACGCAAATGATGATGACAGAGGTCTGAAAGTTATTTTCAAGCTGGTGGAAGTGATATGCATGAAAAACTCTTTTACTAAAGCGGAGTTGTTATTGGTGTCATTTGTACCAGTAAAATTTTGCAACAACCAGAAACCAGGAACTGAAACGTTGAACCTGGCCGAGGAAAGATTACTCGGGGAAGAGAAAGGAAAGAAATGGAGGCGTACCAGGTAGGTGCCATTTGTATCGATGTTGAACTTATACCCACTGTCCCCTCTAAAAATCCTTGCTGTTTGGTATAGAGGAGAAGGCACCGATGACTCATTCTTTTCTGTGTTGCTGCTGCTACCAAAACTGGTTCCAAGGCTTGATTCACCAACGTAAACCTTTCCACTCTCGGTAACACTGTTGTCTGACCCGCAATTGATAAAGTACTTATCTGGGACGTTGTACCCGAGTGAGGGGAACTGCAGTGACGAGAACTGAAGAAAAGCAAGAGCTACACACAGAGAGTGTTGAATTCTATGGCGCTTAAGAATCTCCATGGAAAGATGGTTATCGGGGTTCAGTTTCAGCTATGATTATTTCATCTTTTGAAAGTAGGGTCTTTGGACATGAATGAACACGGGACTCAGATGAGGGAAGACTTCAGCACAGACAGGACAAGTCGTCAGCTTTGATTTTTCTTCTTCTTTTCTTTTTTTTATTCTGAAGTGGATTTATCAACTACCAGAACTATTTGTTTGAGCCATGGAAATTAAAATTGAAAAGTATGGTTCACCTTAAGATTTTTTATTTGCAAGACTTTCCATTACTTTTGTCCTGGTATTCTTGGAATGGATCCACCACAAGTCCTAAAATTCCAAAAGACAGATTAATTATTAACATAACGAATGCCCCTGTTAAGGGTGAGGTAAATAACTAAACAAAAAACCAAAAGAAAAACTTGTTTATACAAGATCATTGTATAAAAGATTAGCAAAGGGAAAAGAGCACACTTTTGACTTGCATACTTCATTTGTTACTTTTTCTTTACTACGCTTACTGTATTATATATATTTAATAAAATTCTCGTATTTTAGAGTGAAAGTTCGTGCAGTAAAAAAGGCGGTAAAGTTACACACCATGCTTGTAGCAGTTGGACAGCTTTATGATTTGTCTAGCATAATTTAGCAAATAAATAAATAAATAATCATCTCTTAGATTTTTCAATGTTTTGCACAGCACAGCATTTAATATATAACCATTATTAAAATTCAACAGAAATTTTTTTTAATAATGTTTTTAGTTTAATTTGGAAGTGAATTCAGATTTTGTTCCTTTAGTGAACTGTACAACTCATGAATAAAAATAGTATAAAGGTCCTGTCATTTCTCAATTAAATATAAAGTTAAATTTCTCAATTAAAGAGCATACAATTTTTTCCATCACTTTAATGAGATACCTACTCCATAAAAATTTACTTTTTACTGGCAACAGTTATGACTTAGAGAAGTAGTATGTCATTTCTTTACCAAACTTTAAATTCTCTAGGAACAACTTGAAGATGAGACATTTTCATTTAAAGGGTCTTCTCATCCCATATTCTTTTAGAGGCGTCCTTCGTGAGAATAGTGCCAAGGACACTTCAATCAATTGATTGAAAGTAAATAATAATTTATTTTTACATCTTTAAGTTTCATCTCATCACTTTTTTTTTTTGTTTTTGTTTTGGTTCTATTACTATTGTTTGGCTCGTTGGTGAAATATATTCAAGATCAATAAACTCTCAAGGTTAAAGGGAATTTTGCCATTAGTATGCTCCAATGATCATAATCACCCTCAATATGGAATGAGTATTGAATGAAACTCCTTATTTTTGCCGTTATAAAATATCAAAGATGATGATTTTGTATATGGTCCAATGAAACTCTAATAATACCAAATTATTGAGAATAAAACTTAAGTAAGTATCACAACAAACAAGACTGAAAATGACTTAGATTTTATTTATTATAATATTGATTTTACTTAGTGAATAAATACATGTTTAACCTTCATTGTGAAACAACCACATAACAAAAATAAAGGCTACTGGGTTTTCTATTTGTTCACTTACTTTTTTTCCTGGTAAGGCTTCATGAGTTATCCGCATGACCAAGTTAACCCATAGGTTGAGCCAAGATTGTTTCCAAGGTCGGACAAGATTAAACAAAGTAGAATTGAAAGATTAACATAAAAATAGATATTAAAATATTTTTTAAATAACACTTGCTTTAGACACATAATAAAAGGTTAGGTACCTTATAAATCAAAGCTAAAGTGTCCCCCACGTTTACTTTAAGAATTTAAGATTACAAACTTTTCATATTGAGCTTCAAAAAAAGCACATATGATAGACTTTCAAGCTTTTTAGTTTTGAAAAGATACATGGTCTTATATTCCTTTGTTCGTTTAGAATAAGAGATCTTTCTCCCTTATCATCAACAAAAATTTAGTCTCATTTTTCTACAATGTCCCACTATATTACATGCATTAAAAAAATGGTATTATTTTTTATATATCCAATAGTCGTAGTTTTATCTTGGAAAGAAGGCTTGTCTTGTTTTACATAATAATTCAATGATCAAGTTGTGTACTATCTTTTTTATCAGTTAACCAAATCATTACATGTATATCATACTTTTTGCCAAGTTTTGAATTAATCATTGTAAATATATTTTTTTAAATGCATAGATTATTTTCCTATGGTATCATAAAGTCAAGGGAGATACTTACCTTGTGTAAGGATTCTTATTTTAATACGAACTCTATTAAATCTTTGTATTGTTAATATATTAATTAATTTCTAAACTTAATGGTTGAAGGTGATGCATGTATGTATGAACAATGTACAGACTTTTCTCTTAGTGTTGGAAATTTTGTGGGATAAAAAAATTGATTTCATGGACAAATTTATTTGAGTAACAGTTGAGCTAGAATTTGGCCTTCATGATTTGTTAATTAAGAAATGGATCAACCTATAGGTTGAAGATCACAATGTTCCTGAAATGGAAAAGGGGGATCAGAGTAGGATCCATTAAGAATGGCAAAGGTAGTAAGCTTGTTTGCAGCTTCTGTGGCATGAACTCCATCCCAGCTCACATAGTTGTAGGGGTCATCGCATGCAGTTGCTGTCACTTTGCTTCCATTTATCACTCTGGAATTTCCACAGTAGACTTTAGGATTGAAATTGTAGTCACTCCCTCCATATCCGCAACAAGCTCTCGTACCATACTTGAGCCCTGTTTCAAGAAGGATAAGAAAGTCAGAATAATGAACACATTCTGGTTGTATATTTACCATTTCATACTAGTAACTAGGAGTAATTTATAATAATAACCAAAGGGTGTCAAATTTCTAAACAAAATATCAAATTTATCAAGGGTATAAGTGAAGTCCTCCCTGTCTCCCATTCTTATAATTGAATAAGGGCTTTCTGAAATAATGGGAGTGTGCTTTACACTCTCTTTAGTAGCTGCATTAGAAATTTTTATGTACTGAATTAATGTATAGCAAAATGACAGACATTGTATTTTTAAGGTGTCATAATAGTGTTTACTTATTATTAAACAAATAGAGGGATTAGTGCTTGGACCATGAGAAGTGGGATGCTGGAAGAGGTCTAACAGAACTGCGTGAGTATCCACATAAATGACAGAAGCATCAGAAAGACTTTCTCTTGTTTGTCTCAGTGACTCCTTCAACATATTATTGTATTTCACTACCGCATCGTTGTAAGAAACCAAGCATCCAAATTCATCTATGTCTGAACTATTATGAGGAAGCTCCACCAAGAATGAAGGGTAGCATCCCACTGGTGCAAGATTAAGAACCAAAAATGTACGTCCTCCAAGATTATACAACTCCTAGAAATTCATTGAGCACAATTCAAATTAGACATCTTTTTTTTTTTAATTCTGGATTTAAGTTGGTGCTGACTGTTATGGTAATTTCACCTTAATTGTAGCAGCAATTTGTGAAACAACTTGAGGGAGGTATTGTTGCACTCCACCGATGCCGATGGCCGCTAAGTTGGAAGTAAAATCATTTTGGCCAATATAGAATGTGTAAAGAGATTTTCCAAATATATCTGGTGAAGGAAGCTTGGATCCTGAGAAACAATCAAAAGAAACTAGTATATTGCTGTAGAAATTAATAAATAGAGTGAGAACCAGGAAGTATGTGCATTTTGTACCTTGTTCATGTACTTCATTAACCTTGGTTTTGAATTGTTTCATTTGGTTGAGCTGGATAGCAAGAGAGAAAGGGCTGATCCCAGTGACAAACAAAGAAGTATTGGGTAGAAGCACAGTTGATGCCAATGTAGCATAATTAGCTCCATGTGTGTAATCAGATCCGATTGATTGCAAATATGGACTCAAAAATGGCAATCCAAGAGCTTGAGCTGCCGAATGAAATGCAATATTAGTCCTGTACTACAGATAGAATGGTTTCTCATATAACAGCTCAAGCATTAAAACATGTCTTTAATATATGAAAAGATAAATGACAATATACATGAGATACATTGTCAATTTTAAAGTTGGTGGAGTAAACTTTTCTTTTCTTGAACCCAAAAGAAAAAAATGAAATCATCATAAGGTTAGGAAGGTTTAATAAGTGATTCATGTTGCACCGAGAAGTTTTAAAAAGTGACACTAATAATTACTGCTGGTATCTAGAAGATATTGACAATCCATAGCTGTATAACAGTTTCCAACTGGGCATTTTTTTTCTTGTGAGGAAAATTGCCCCAAGAAGAGTGTGACCGTAATAAAGACATGGTCTTAAGTTTCTTATAACAAACAGATATTATACCCAAAGATCAAGGCTCCAGATTTATCATTATTGCGGTCAGTTTCTTTTATTTGTTAAATTCAATAACTTATTTGTCTTGGCTGTTAGAACTTAGCACCCTGCAATATAAATTAGAAAAAGTGATACTGTATGAAACATCAAAGAAACACTGAAACAAAATCAATAAAATCTGATGATCCATGTTTCCCACTGATGTATGTTTAATTTTTCCATGACCTTGTCACGTGAACGTTTTGTACTGAAAGAAAATCAATAAAATCTGATGGTTTATGTTCTCCAATGGTGATGTGTTTGATTTTCCCCTGACCTTCACATGAAAATTGTGTTTATCTTACCCTTTATAGAAATTGATAAGGTCTCACCTAATTAATGCCAATGAAAAAGATTATCATAAAATTTTCAGATGACAGAGATCATTTATTTAAAAATCAACATGGAAATTGTCTCTTTTCCAGCGACCCTTCTTGTCCATTCAGCATTTTACAGAAAAAAAAAAAAAAAAAAGATAGAAAGAGGAAAGCAGAACCAAAAAGCTGTATGCCAATTAAATCTTTCCATAAAACTTTTCTTCTTCTTAGTTTTGCTTCAATGTCCACATTCATAGGGTGAGATGTCATAAGAAATAAAAGAAAATGAACAAATTGTTACTGAAGTTAAAGTGGAAACATTAGAAAACCTTAAAGCAAACTGAGACGAAAAAGTTTATTAGTTACCAAGAAAATCAACTATGAGTCTCCCATCTGTTGCCCTTCCTACTGGTTTCTTGAAGTAAGTCATTCCAAAGGGACCAGATTGTGCAGGAAATGCTGCCCAAAAGCCCCCAGTATCTGAATTTGAATCTCCAAAGTTGAAAATTGCCTCGAAATCACACTTGGTGTGACTTGAACCGATCAGCCAAAGCAATACAAGAGTAAAAATGACCAAGTTATTGGTGGATGCCTTTGAAGTCATTTTTGTGAGTTTAAGGACACTTCTGTTCTGGTAGTGCTGTATGAAAAAGAAAGGGTGACCTCTCCTTTTCTAGTTTTGTTCATATTTGCAATTGTAACTCTATTCATTTTACAATAATGTACGACAATAATTTTTATTCACCTCACACATGGAGGATACTACCAACACAAATCTGACACATGTAAGATGGGCCATATACACATTTTCATTATTTATATTATTCACAAGAATTTCAAAGTAATTTATTTTCCTCTTTTGTATAAATTTCAATTGTCCTTTACAAATAATCTGTATGAAAAAAGTACATGGATGGATAAATGATACTAAATTTTTTATCATAAAATGCATGATAATTACTTCCCTTCCTTTTTTGATCTATTTGACAAAAATCAGATAAAGCATTTCGACCTACTATTTTCTTAGCCCATTGGATCATCTACTTTTACCTATTTAGCTTTTTTTTTTCCTCAAAAAATGTTTGAATCTTAAAAAGACAAAATTCGTATCACGTTTGCACATGTCACGTTTCAATTCCTAATTTTCAAGGACACAAAAGGAATTATTGATTTATTTGTTTTTAATAAATTTATAATATATAAATAATGTATAAAAATTATTATTATTATTATTAAATTAAGTTTTTTAATAAATTATATTATTTATAATAAGTATTTAATAGTTTTGTTGATGATTGTAGAAATATAAATAATTACTGATTCGAGTTCTTTTTATAATTCACAGAATTTTTAATTAATTAGTATTTTAAGACATTTTACCTTTTAAAATCTTCTTGTAATTTCTTACAACAAAATAAATTTTCGGAATCATTAATCTCATTATTATCTCGGTTCCCTGCAAGAATTAAACTTGCTTCTTTGATCCTTTTTCTTCATACAAAAGAGTGGATGAGTGTGTGTATGGGTATTTTTCTTTAAATTATTTTTTTTCAAACAAATTAGTTAAAGAAAGAGTGTAAGTTTTGTCGATAAAATTCGAACATTTTAATTTGTCCCCATTAAACCCGTTATTATGTGGTCACGGAATTTTTTTTAACTTGGAGTATGTATTTAATTTTAAATATAAAACTAAATAATTAATGTTCTGTGAGTCAGATGTTGAATAGGGATGACAATTAAACCTGTTCACGAGGATCGACCGTCTCCGTCTCGAGTTTGACGGAAAAATCCGAGTTGACCGAGGCGGAGGCGGGACGGGGATGGGTAATGCAATCCCCACCCCGTTCACGCCCGTCCCCTGCCTGTCCCCACCTCGACTTTATATTTAAATTTAAATTTTAAAATATTAATATTTTAAAAGTATTTCCTTTTCTTTTTCTATTACATATAAGGTCATTTTTTTATATGTCATCAAAATTTTTTTCTTCTACCCACTTTTTAATTTTTTTGTCTTTTTTAATCTTTTATATCAATTAATTTATTATATTATTCTTTCTCTTACCTTTCAGTTTTTCACATTTCCTTAATCTCTCCCATCAATTTGTTTTTTTTTTCAATCTTTTCAACCAATTTGATGAACACAAAGTTATTTTTTTATTATTATTTATCTTTTTCTAAATATTTTACATAAATCTTAGTAGTAACTAATATTATTTTATTTATAATTTATATTTATTAGGTTTTATTATGTCATATTTTTTTATCTTATTATTCTTATTTATCATATATCAAATTTTATCTTAATAAAATAATTGTATTTTAAAATATTAAAGGAATTGATAATTTAAATTTTTATTACTTCGAACTAATTGAATAAGAATTAACTTATTAAATATTTCCTTATAAACTATATATTTCATATTTTTAAATGACAACTTAAAAATGAATTAACTTATATATATAATCAAATATTTGAATACAATATTATAATAATAGTGTTATAAATATTCAAATATTTGAATACAGTTTTATAATAATAATAATATTATAAATAAAAAATGATTAAATATTTTTTTTACATACATATTTTAATATAAATATAATAAATTAAAATGTATATTTAATTAGTAATAATTATAAATTATAAATATTTATTTATATATAAAAAATAGATAATAAAATTAATTTATTATAAATGTAATTATCTTTTTAAAAATAATATAAATCGAGGATGGGGCGTGGGCGGGAACCGAAACCCAACGGGGATGAAGACTTAATTTCTAACCCCGCAGGGATCGGGCGGGAATGAGAATGGTTAAAAAGTCGGGAACGGAATCGGGAGGCAAAACCCGCCCCGCCCGACCCCATTGCCATGCCATTGTTGATATTATTTTGGGGTCTATTTTTTTTTATATATTATTAGTTGAAAAACCATCTTTTGTCTCTTGTGAATGCTTAATTACATATTATAATAAATGGATTATTTCCAATAAATTAACCGAACAATAAAAAAATAAAAAAATAAAATATATAAATTACGTACATAAGATTTACAGATTTATTTAATTAATTAGGTCTATAAATAAAGTATATATTTAATAAATGGATTATTTCCAATAAATTAACCGAACAATAAAAAAATTAAAGAAAATAATGTATATAAATTACGTAAATAAGATTTATAGATTTATTTAATTAATTAGGTCTATAAATAAAGTATATAAATATATAATGACAACCAATGCTAAAATTATTTAAAGAAATACAGAAACTAATAAAAAAAAATTCAATAAAGACTCAATATAAAAAAAATACATTATTATTGTTTGAATCTCACGTTTTTTTATCCTTTATTATATTACTATTCATGTACTTATCATTATGTCTTCTTGATCTATACTTTGTTATTTTTGGAATTATATTTTAGTTGAGTTTATTTAATTTAAAGAAAATTAATAAAAAAAAAAACAAAGGTGTTGACAGATGAGTTACTTTTATAATTTGTTATGATTTTGAAGAGTGATTTTCTGAATCAATTAAGGGTAAGAAAAAAAAAATATATATATATATATATATATATATATATATATTCACATTTTTTAAGCTTCTATTTCTTTTTTCATAATTCTAACTTTTTTTATTTATTTTTAAATAAAATGAATAAATAGTGTAAACCAGTGATATCAAAGAATTATACTATCATATTATAATAGATAAAATTCATATCACCAACCATTTCTTAAGCAGGTAAAGTCAATTAAGAAACAAAAGCTTCATTCATTCAGTGCATCATCTTCCTTAAATGACAAAATGAAGTTTAATTTTTGTTTATTTTCAACTTTTCATGGAACGAGTTGAAAGGTAAAAGTGCACACGAAATTATCACTTTGGGGCAGGGTCTAGGTCCGGAACCGTAGAGCAAAATTGCACGCAACTTGCCCTTCCAGGCCTAAACAATGATTTATCTGAGTCAAATATAAAAGAAATTTGATTAGTCAGCAAGAAACTTGGAAAAATTAAGATTAATTGATATACGTGGTTGTGCTTCGCCATCGTCACACATATTAACTCATAGATGGTAGTTGTCTCATTCCTTTGGGAAGGGCGTTTCTTTACTTCTCTTTTGACGGCACCCAATTCCTGATTTCATTTTACTTGGCCGCCTTAAAGTCTTCCTCTCTCTTCCTCTCTCTCAAGTGTTCGTCGAATACGATGCTATTTTCTCGGATATCCAAAAACCTCAGAGGAAGCGTCAACTCATGTCGATGGTTTCTGTCCATTGGAGACCACAACCACCGTTTTCTTTCCCCGCATAGTTTTCATTCGCGTGGAGACTCTATGCATCAGGTTTTCTGCTTTCTATCTTTTGGTTTGTGTTATTTCAATTTACATGCGCGATTCTGGGATCCTTATTTGTTGTAGTCTGATTTCAAGTCTCAAACTTTGTTGCCATTGCTTTCGCCCCTTTTCTCTCAATTGGAATGGTTTTGGCATTGCGGCGTGCGGGATCACTGCATTCTGATTTCTATTGATAAACATCAACGATCTGCCTACTAAGTGTTTGAAGTTATAACGATAGTACTTGTGTTTGGTTCTTTGTTTTGGTAATGCCGCTTCCTGGTCTTGCGTGCTGAAATTTGGAATTGTCTTGTTGCAAATCAAAAGTGAAGCACTTATAGTACGGTGATTGTTGTTACTGCAATATTTTAGCATTCTGAGTAGGTTTAATCTGTTGGGGTGAATTGTGAATGGGGTAGACACGTATAAGCTGTTTTGTGATCACTGAGTTTCCATGCTTGTCCAGGAAGTTTATGTTTTACTTGTAATTAACAGTTATGTTTGTATCATATAATTTAATTTCTAAGTGATGGAGATTCGTGCTTATGGTTTCTTTGAGAAGTCTCTTTAGTAGATTTGGAGGTACAAGAGAGCTCTATTGTATCACTGGTTTAGGTCTGATTGGTTAAGAACATTGAAGAATCTGGACTCTTAACTCTTTTGGCGGGCCCCTTGTTGTCACATAGGATTTAAAATAGTCATTAATTTTTATTCCAACGGTACAACTTACTTGAGTTCTTAATTTATTTTTAGTGTATCTCATTTTATAGTTCCTCTTTCACAAAAATCTTCATTTTGACTCAATTATTTTTATTTTCCTTTTTATGTGACCTTGGTGGTAGTTGTTATATGAGCAACTTCTATAAGAATGTTATCAAAACTAGTTTGTTCAATGGTATTTTCAAGTTGCTTAACTTGTAAGAAACTTCATTGCAGACGCTCTGACTGTCAAATTATGTTTTGCTATTTCCAAGAGACTATTCAGGGAAGGAGAAAATTTCTACATTAGTTGTACATATGTTTGCATTAGTATCCAATCAAGCACTTAATTTGTGGTTGTGTTTTGCTTCTTCCGTTGGTTAATTTTCCTATTAATTACCAAAAGAGAATTTCTTATCCTCCTTCTTATAATTAATCTTCTTTCATCATCATAATATCATATTTTGATCTTCTTTCATTCTCATAAAATTGACTTCTTTTATCTGAAGAAAATTGTTTTGCAACCTAAGTTTACTTGCAAATGATTATTCTGTGATGTAGGTTATGAGACGTTTAAATTTTTCAAAGTGCCTGCCAGCATTGCATAGTAGTAGATATCTTATCCATCAACAAAGCAGCTCCATAGTGGAGGTTAGTTCTGTGTTCTTTCTTGGTTACACTTTTCTTTCTGTTCATTGGTTGGGATCCCCATTTCATACTGCTTCAATAAGTTGTGTACTTTTTATATGGTCTAGTTGCATTTTTAGTCCCTTAGATATTTCAATTGTACTGTTTTGGTCCCCTAGTTTTCAAAAACATCAATTGTATTGACTTAGTTATTAATGAGGCTTGTGGGTAAATTGTAGTTTTTATGACAACAATGAACAACAATAGGAATGTCTTCCCATTCTAAGCAAAATCAATGACTTAAATATGGGATGGAGGGACTTGATGTAAATAGGAGAAAACTTGAGGGATTTATTGTGCAATTGAAACTTAAGACCCATATCACTCAATCGCAATACCTGAGGGACTAAAAATGTAATTAGACATTTTTATTATCTTTTGTCTAAATTGCTTAGGTAGTAGATTTTCTTACTAAAATCCCAATTTACAAAGATTTTCCCTAATCATATTAGTGCATTTACGAGTGTGTTCATATATATATATATATATATATATATATATATATATATATATATTTATTCAAAGGAAAAATGCAAGAGCATTATAAGCATAGTTGTCAATCCTGGAAAGTAGTTTGGAGTGGCTGACTACAAGACTGCTATAGTAGGATGAATGATATTGTGAAATTTTAGATACAACAACGCTATAAGATACACTATCATGTTATCAACAACTTCATACGAATTGTGATTTTATCAATTGAACTGTTACTGTATAACACTTGTTTATTCCTGTAAAATTTTATTAAAATTGAACAACTATAGTGATCAAATAACGAATTAAAGGTATATGTATCATCATTTTTTATGTTTTTCAATGGAATATTAAACAATTTCAGATTAATATTAAATTTTGTAGGTTTGATCTATATGATAAAATGTTTAATCAATAGTATTTTCTGAGATAAAATTTTTGAATAAAAAGTTATTGAATGATGTAATAGTTGAGGTAACTTGTAGCTGTGTAGTTTGGTTCCTCCTTATCTGAAAATGGGTAGTAGCCTAGGGCTGCTATGCAATTGAGTGTGATTAACAACCATTATTATAAGGAATACAAATTTCATTATTTATCCATTGTGTTATTCCTTATTTGTTCTTGGGAACAACTTTGACCTTTTTGTTTTAGACAAATATTGATAGATTTCGGGCTGTTTGTTTTTCTATTTTGAATATTTTTACTGGTTTCTAAAAACAAGATAATCTTGTTTGATAACAGTAGTTTTAAAGCCTGATTTCAACACTAATATACCTTTTCTTACTTTTGTAAATAAATAAACAAATATCTTTTGGTTGTTTTGGATTTCTATTTTCTGTTTTTTATTATTACTTATATTTTTCCACTCTTTCACATCTTCCTCTACTACCCTCTAAAAAAATAGTTTTTGGAAACTTTTTATAATTTTGTTTTTAAAAACTAAAAGGAAAATGCAATCAAACGCATCCGTAATAAAAATAAAAAGATTCCGCTGGAGACTCCTGTATTTAATTTTCAATTAACTGTCTCTACTTAATTCTCCATGATGATACATGTACTGCTCTCAGGATGAACATGATCCATTTTCACTGGTTGCTGACGAACTGTCACTTCTTGGTAACAAGCTGCGAGCAATGGTAGTTGCTGAGGTATCAGATTGCTCGTCATTTACTTTCTAATGTATGCATTGAATCAAAAGTTCAGTCCTGGGTCATTTACTGCCTAGAAATCAGATACAGTTCATGGTGAATATTGTTTTTTATGTATCAGGTTCCTAAGCTTGCCTCAGCTGCTGAATACTTCTTCAAAATGGGAGTGGAAGGAAAAAGATTCCGCCCTACAGTAAGCATGTTCTCAATGCTATGCAGATGTTCTTGTATTCTTTTGCATCAATGTTTGCTCCAGATCTTCTATGCTTCTGCAGCAACTTTTCTTTGGATTGATATTTGCACATCAATTGTAGGAGGAACTAAACTACTATTAAGTTATGCTTGGAAAGTTGTGAATTTGTTGACCATCACTTGACTATCAAGTTACCCTTTTAAAATTAATACAAACAAGCTAACACATCCTACATACTGACTCATTTCCTCTGTTCTTTAATGAGCTCAGGTTTACCCAATTCTATGAAATATAATCATTGACAATTGACACATGCTTTATGGGTGTGTTTGGGTAAATATCTTACTTAACTGCTTGTTGAATAAATTCTTATCATACAAGAAGAGTTGTTTTTATAATCAAAGAAGAAAAAAGTTTAGATTATTTAAGTTGTAAGGCTGTAAGCTGTTTTCACAGTCTTAGGGAGTTTATTGAAATAAGTTAAAACAACTTATGGACATATCATAAGCTATTTCATATGTTCTCTTAAGCATTTACTCTAGTGCTTGCATCATAAAATAAGTCTAAACAAGCTAAATAAGCTCTTCCAAATGCACCCTAAATGGACAAATTGAAAAAAAAGGTTCCCTTAGTAGTTTGGGCTATATCAGGGACAAGAATATTTTTAATAATAGCTACAACTAATTTTCAAGCTATTTTTACTTGTTCTCCTGTATTATTCACTGTTAATCTTTTTTCATGCTGTCACATTCAGGATTCAGGTTAACGATTTGATGTTCTGCAGGTTTTATTGTTAATGTCAACAGCATTAAATCTACCGATACATGAAGCATCTCCTCCAATTGAGCTAGGAGGTGATTTGACGACTGATGTACGTTCGAGACAACAACGAATAGCTGAAATAACAGAGATGATTCATGTAAGTCCTTCAGAATTTTTCAGAGATGAATGTGTGAGAAGAGATTGTCACAATATTGCTTTACATTTTTCTTATTTCTGTATTTGGTGCAGTGCTTATTTGCTTCTGTCTTTTAGTCTAATTTTGTTGATTCTTTTCAAGCTGTGTTGTGGACATTGGCTAAAAGATGTGCTGATTTTTGTAATGTTCAATAAACATTCTGGTTTTAACCACAAACCTGTATTTATTAAATTAATATTATATATATATATATATTAATATTTTAATTTATAAAATAATATAAAATTATAAAAATTATAATACAAAAGTTGTCAATTAATACAAATGACTAAGTTATATGTTTTATATGCTAAAAATTTGTTTTTATTTATCTTGAAAATGTTTTAGATTAAATTAAAATGTTAATAGCAATTCAAACCAATTTTGAGTACTGGTTTTCATCAGCTCAACCGATTCTGTACTTGTTCTAAATGATCCATTTTTTGGGGTTGACAGACCGGTCTCTACACCATATCCTAGTCAGACCGGCTGATCTTGCTTCTCGTTTACCTTTTGCTATAAAATATTGTATGACCATTGTTATTCACTGACTTGCTGTTAATATATTGTGTTTCTTTGGCCTCTTGATTGTATTATTATGATACCTATTTCCAAGGTAGATTAGAGAGTGAACCATATGATAAAAGAAAAGTTAAGAATGAATGTATTTGGAATAAAGGTTAAATGGCACCTGTTGAGGAGAACATTACAGAAATTTGCGTAAGAGTGACGTAGTCATGTCAGGAGAAGACAAACAGATGCTCCAATGAGAAGGCCAATGGAAGAAGACTGATGAAAAATCCAGAAGAAACTGTTAATCTTGCGCTTAATGTATTTATTGAAAATTTGGTTTTGAGAGATCCTACTAGTGGTTTTGTTTGGCTTTGATCAATATAGCTTACCCACCTTGTGAGATACGGCTTAGTTTTGTATTTGTTTTATTCATGAGATAAGGCTTAGTTGTTGTTCCACTGGAAAGGGAATATCCATTTCAGACAAGCACAAAGGCTAACTCAGTTGCAAATTTTAGCCTCTTTGTGTCTGTATTTCCTTTTTTATTTGTTTGGGCTTCCTAGTTTTATTTTCTGTTTATTCGTTTGAAAAATATCATTTTGATAAACCCTTATGGCCACTGTGCATTATCTTTCAGATTTTTGGAAATAATTTTTTGACCAAAGTTTTCCCTTCTTCTGCTGCCTATAAGAAAGATCCTTCTGAAGCAGAGACTGAGCTATATCTTACTTTTTTTTATGACTCCAGTTTTGTGATGTTAATATCTTCCAATTTAAATTCTATTTGTATAAATTTTGTATTTGGTCACTGAAGAGATAGTTAATTATTGTTTATGTTTAGTCACGTTAACAAGCTGAAAAATCTGTATATGATAAATGAGAATCATGCAGGTGTGATATAAAAAATTCACCATTCCATGTGTTCTGTCAATTAAGATTGTCATTATTGTTATTATTTTTTTAAGATCCCACATCAGTGTAGCGTAGGGCAAAGTACCTGTTATAATAATATACAATATTCTTCTCTTGAGTTAGTTTTTGGGGTTGAGTTAGGTAAAGTCTATTCTCAATTCCAATATAGTAATGAGCCTATATAGGCCTTATTTTGGGTCATCTGCAAATGTTCAATTCTGAAAACTTTATGCTTCAAATTCTTAGTCCTAGGAATGAGTTGTATATATAAATATCCCCAAGTGGCTGGGTGTATGGTCCGAGCCCCACTTTTTACACTCATAACAATATTTTTTATCACTATTACAAAATGATGTTGGCATGATGTCATCACAGGTGGCTAGCCTTCTTCACGATGATGTATTGGATGATGCTGATACCAGACGTGGTATCGGTTCATTGAATTTTGTAATGGGCAATAAGGTATGTATAAAGTTGTGCTCTGTTTGCCAACATATTTTTTGCCATTTGTGCATTATTGTTTAGCTAAGTTTTCTACACACATTTGTCAAATGGTGGGTGTAGGTTGCTTAAGTTTCTTTCTTTTTCTCTGCAGTTGGCAGTATTGGCTGGAGATTTTCTGCTTTCTCGAGCTTGTGTTGCTCTGGCCTCTTTGAAAAACACAGAGGTAAGGTAAATGGGTGATATGCTGTGTATACCTGTTGTAAAGATGTATGATGTATCTAGTTTCCTTGATGAGACACAAGTATGTTTATGCCTGAGGCAAGGATTGTATCCCTGTAGGTTGTATCTTTATTGGCAAAAGTTGTAGAGCATCTTGTAACTGGGGAGACCATGCAAATGACTACAACATCTGATCAACAGTGTCGGTATGCTTGAGTCCTTTTCTGTCATATATGTATGTGTTTTCTTTACTAGGAAGTTAACCTTTGTTTTATACAATTTGTATCCTATCAGTTATTAATGTTCCTGTATAAAAATTCATTGCTTTTCCTTTGCACATACAGATAATTATAGATCAGTCTTAATTCTTTAGAATGTGGGCACACAAGGCACCTATCTATGGTTAGAATGGTTTCTAATAATTGTTTATATTTTCAGCATGGAATATTATATGCAAAAGACCTACTACAAGACTGCATCTTTAATATCAAATAGTTGCAAGGCAATAGCCATCCTTGCAGGGCAAACAACAGAAGTTGCAATTCTTGCTTTTGAGTATGGAAAAAATCTGGTTTGTATATTCAGTTATTCATGCATTTACACTACGAAGTATGATGATTTCCATTGTAAATAGTGTGTTTAATGATTAATAGCTGAATGTTTTGCATGACGACAATTAATGGAACTAAGGAGACATTTGTTACAAGGGAAATTTTTCCATGGCCCTGGGAATCATGAATCATATGAATTATGATTCCTAAGAACAACTAAAATATGTTTATATATATATATATATATATATATATAAGTATATATATACACACACGCTCTCGAGTCTTGCCAATCAAAGAGTAACATGGTATTTTTTACCCAAAAATTTAATTAATTACTATATTAAATTATCTAATAAGAGTATTGTATTGTGATATTTTTACTGCAATAAACCTTTTTTAACTGAAAAAGTAAGATCGTCACATCTCCCATTGGGAACAATTTTGTGGGAAACATAGCTAAAAACATTTTTCATTCCTAAGAATGTTCTATTTTAAAGATTAAACCTAACATGGAAAACTAACCTTTTTAATTTTAAATTCCTGGAAATCTAAGGAAATTCTTGTACCAAAGGCCTCCTAAATGAACGGATGTATCCACCATTTCATCAGTCAACATTTTGTTTATATCGAAGTTCCTGTCTGTACATGTTATGTATATGTTGCAGTTGATGAATTTCCTGGAAACTTATTTCCCTCTCGACTATTTTGCAGGGTTTGGCATTTCAATTGATAGATGATGTGCTTGATTTCACTGGCACCTCAGCTTCCCTTGGAAAGGGTTCTTTATCAGACATTCGACATGTAATTTCATCCACTCTTGAATTTTATTCAGTTGAGATTTTAAAAAATCTTACCAAATGAGAGAAAATAAAAAATAAAATTTTGCTTAATTGCACTTTTGGTTTCTCGGATATCGTAATATTGCAATTTTGATTTTTCTAGGTTTCCAATTACATGAATTAGATCCTTATAAGTATCATAATTGCATGATTTTGTTTCTCCATCCATCTTTCATTAAATGTTTAATGGTTAAATATTCAATAAATTTTGTTGACATGACAATTGATGTGTTGACAAATGCTAATGTGACTTAATAACATATTTTTCTCTCTTGTATTGCAATAGTGAGAAACCGTCAGTCATATTGGCATGTGTCTAGCAACACATCAGCAAAATATGGGATCAAATTCATATAATTGCAATACTTGGTGAACCCAATTTGCATGCTTTCAACTTTGGGAGATCAAAATCACACATAGGAATGCTTGAGGGGATTAAAAGTGCCTTTAAGCCGAACATTAATAATAGTCCGATACAGTAGTGCCAGTTCTATCGCTTGAAACATTTCACTTAATATCTGTAAACAAATGTGTTGTTTATTGTGCTTGTTTCTTGATCATGTTTTGACAGCATATAAAAATATATTTTACACTGTTACTAAATTTCTGTGCTAACAAACCTATTTCGGAATGGTGCCATTTAGAAGAGAATATTTTTTACTATTATTTTAAGGTTTGCTTTGCCTTTTAGTTTTCATAAGATCTGTTTTGTATTGTTTCATCTGCCGATTGACTAGTTGTCCAAAAAATTATTGTAGGGAATTGTTACAGCTCCAATATTGTTTGCGATAGAGGAGTTCCCTCAGTTGCGTGCAATAGTTGATGAGGGCTTCGAAAACCCAGCGAATATTGAGCTTGTAAGTTGAACTGTGTTTCTTGGCTGCATTTATTCTACATAATTAGCTTTAATGACTAAAAAAAAAGGAAATAACTACGTTTAGATCAGATGACTTCCGTGAACCTGTCATTAAGTGGTTGCAGTTGGTTTTGGCATTTCAACTCAAGACTTTAGTTTCATTAGATAATTGATGGCCTCTTTCATAGTGGTTCTGAATACACTCCCGGTAGTCTCCTACTTTTATATTTCGGTAGGATAAAAAGTGGTCGATTTTCCCTGCTTATTCATCTTTGATAATAGATTTGAAGTGTTACTCTTCATGTTTGAAGTGAAGAAATAAAATTCAGATATGTTGCTTATGCAGCTCAACATGATTTGTTGCATAACAACATGATTTGTTACAGTTTTTATGTGTACTGAGTCAATCAATTAGTTTTAATTCGTACCATAATTACTTCTAAGTTCAGGAATGCAAATATCAGGATCCTTCACGGTAACCTACACAACTATTATTGAATTAAACCCTTTTGATTTGGCCTTCAAACTAAACACTTAATGCACAAAATCCTCATCAGACTAGCTTATTATTACGCAGATCCCATATTCTTGTATTTGCAATTTTACCAGGCTTTGGAGTATCTAGGGAAGAGCCGAGGTATACAGAGGACAAGGGAACTAGCCGTGGAGCATGCTAACCTTGCAGCAGCAGCAATTGATTCCTTACCCGACAGTGACGACGAGGATGTAAGAAAATCAAGGAAAGCCCTAATAGATCTAACTCACAGAGTCATTACACGAACAAAGTGAAAGCAAGACTCTGCCCTCCCTTTCTTTTTTGTGGGTAGCTTGAAGAAAAAAAATATCTTGGTAAGCTTTAGACCTACAATTATTTTGTTACCATCAATTTTTCTGTAGTTGTTCCCCCTAAGCCGAAAGAGTGGGGGAAATAAGGTATTTCTAGGATTAATGACGTTATTCGTTTTTCTTAATTATTTAGATTCAATTCTCTTTCCTTTTGTGTTTGTGCTCCAGTGTTTCAATATAATGATGACCTTGGGTAAGTTTTGCCAGTTTGCCTCCATTTTCTTACAATTTTACCTTGCTGCTGCTTGTATTCCGCGCATTGAACAACTGTATGGAGTGTTTTGTTCATAAAATGAATTAAATCCTCTTGTAAATTGTATGGTCATAATCAATTGAACAGCTTAAGTAAAATGATTTCCCGATTTTATGTGCGAAGACAAACCTTATCCATGCACTTCAAAATACTTAATAAATTACGTATATAATACCGAAAGTTTTCACTGGTGGTTTGCCATGTTCTTTTTGTCGTGTTCAGTCACCATTAATAAAAGTATGAGTCAGGTTAAGTTGTAAATATCTACAAACTCTTTAGTTTATTTCCACCGTTAACCATACACACTTATTTATCAAATGTTTAGAATATTAGAATAATGGATAATTTAGTCTGGTTCTGAATACGGTTAACTTGATTTTATCGGTAAGCTTATTGGAAATAATTTATAAATGTTGATACTTTCAAATGTTTTTAATTTTAAAAATCAAATGTGTTGTAATAATATTCGGTCTGTTTTAAAATAACCGCTGTTTAAAATGAAATAAAGGGTATGTTTTATTCAATTTTTTTAATAATCAGTTTTGAGGATACAGTTTTTTAGAATAAGCTAAAAATAACTTCGTTTGATAAAACGTGTTTGATGATTTTATTTTCAAAAACTGTTTTAAAAACTGAAAGACAAACTATTTTTTAGTGTTAATGTTTTTTTAAGCCAAGTAAATATAAATTTTTGCTTGAATATACTTTTAATACATAAAAATGTGTTATTTTAGCTAAAAGATAAATAAACATATTCTTATTTAACAAATACATATATCTTTAACTTGTTAAGTATGAATCACATGTTATTTATGTCTTTTCTAAATAAGGTTATTATTACATGATTTGTATAAAAAATAATAAATAAAAATGAAATTAAAGTTAATTATTAATTTTTGAAAGTATATCATCGAAATACTGTAAAAAGTCAAATTAATTTGATTGATATTATGTCCATAATGTAAAATAAATTTAGTTATTTATATGCACGTTTCATGATTTACATAATGGTTCTTTAACGGAAACCAGTCTTCTTCATTTGACATAAGTAAAAAATCCTTCTAATATTCAATATATTTACAATAATTTGTCCAAAAATGTGTTTAATTCAGAAGTTATTGCTTATAATCATTAATTATATTAATCATAAAAAAATCAATTAATTCATCATCAAAGATAAATCATCACTTTTGTTATATCCAACATGGTTTTAACTTTATATATATATATGTATATAATTTATATTTTTATCATTATCAATCATGTCTATAACATAAATATATAGTTGAATAAAATAAACATTTAGTATATAAATATATTGCAACATACAATTTTATGTAAGGAAATGACAAGTATATAAATCACTATTCTACAACTTATATAATAATAATAATAATAAAATAAATAAACAAGATTTTTTTATCGATGCTCTCATCGTCTCCTTATTCTTCGTTGGTTAAAATAGATTAATTGAATTTTTTCTAGGAGTAAATAAAATAAAATAAATGAGATCAACCAGAGACTACTGTCCAACAAAGTAAACACAAGAAACATATTACTCTAATTCACTTCCCAACTGAACTACCTAAAATGCGAATAAAACAAATTAAATTGCACAACAATTTAAATGAATAGACACTATATGAACTATTTTTGAATTGTTTAAATAATTTAAACTATTCTTAATAAACATCATATTTCAGTTCAATTTCAGATTGATTAATTCAGTTTAAGAATGTTTCGTTTCATAAAAAAAATCAACCTAAGAATAACTTTATATTGAAAATAGTTTCCTCTAATAAATGTAGTTCAACAATATAACTCAATACAATTCAGTTTGTTTTTTAAGCAACCCAACTTATGTCATCTCCCTCTGTCACGACTCTCTTGTGGTTCTTCTACGTGAACATGTGATCTTTACTTACTCTTTTTTTTATTTATCCAAACTCTTCTTCTAACCTAGTTTTTTTTTTTTTGATGAAATATATCCTTATTTTATAGAAGATAAAATAGCAAAAATTATTTCAACAATTTTTCTTAATAACCTTATTGAGGTGGCATGATTTGTGTGTGAACGAAAAAAGATGGATGAAAGAGCATGATATTGTGTTTTAGGTTTAGAAAAAAGAATTAATCAAGTATAATATATAAATGAGGTGAAGCATAAACGGAGAAGTAGAAAAACGGAAAAGCTGTAACAGAGGCAGACGGAAGGAACCCCCGTGAGCTGAGTGTGACTGTGGCTGTTTATAATCCGTCCCTCTCCTACCGCTTACCTATCCTTCACCCTCACGTACCTTCACTTTCACATTCACCACCTTCACCTTCATTTCCAATCACAACTCAATTTTCCTCTTCATTCTCTCTCTTGAGGTTCCACTACAGGACTCATGCTCGTGTAGCGGAGAACATGGCCTCAATCTCCGCCGCCGAACTCAATTTTCTAGTTTTTCGTTACCTTCAGGAATCAGGTTTCCTGGCGTTTTTTTTTTTTTTTTGCTGTTTGTGTTTGTGTTTCAAAATCTATCGATATGTGTTGTACTTGTTTCTTTCCCTTCTCTCAATATTATCAATTTCCTTTTTTTTTTTTCCTTCTGCACCTTGAAGAATCAGGCTTATATCCCTTTCCTTCTTAATCTGTTCCTGGTTCAAAATTTATTGATGTCAAATACTTGTCTCTCCTTTTTCTGTGTGTATTGTGGGGGGTGGGGGATAGGGAAGATCTTAAGGTTTTAGAGTTTCGACGAGTATTGCGTCCTTTGAGTTTATAATTTGACATTTTCGTGCTAGTATGGACATTTCTATGTTGCTTCAGCGAATTAGGGTTTGGTATTGTTAGAAAAAGAAAATTACTCACGAGTGAAAAAATTGTCCTTCACCTTTTCTTTTTTATTTTCCTCGTTGAAGATCTAAGAGGACTGTAAATTGTTAGATCTGCTACTGAAAAAATAGGTGTTGGATGTTTAGGGTTGATATTTAATGTTCTGAAATTCTCTCTCTGTTTATTTTTATTCTTTTATCAGTTATGATGGTTGTTAATTAAGGTACATGGAAACTACAGTTGTATGTTCATAATGAGATGGTGCTGCCTTGTTTTTGGTATTGGTTGCAGTTCATTTTGTACGTGTGTATAGTGAATGACAATGATGCCTATTTAATTATTCGCTTCTCCTTAATTATGTTTTAATCGTGGTTGATATGCATCATATATTATATTTGCAAAAGGATGGTAGAATCATTGATTTAAAGGAAGCTTGATGAAGCTTTTAGCAAAATGGAACTGAGTGCTCGAGGTAACTTTTAAAATGACTCGTAGGTGGTTTTAAAGAATAAAAATTTGCTTGGTTTTTAGACTAAATGTCATTATTCACAGATCTGCATAACATGCGATATAGAAATCGGTAGATATAAAACCATTCCATGCCTTTATCAAACAGCTTAGGCTGGCTATGTATGGTTCGATTAAATTTGGTTAACAATTGAGAATTCCAATGCCCAAAATGGAGAATGAATAATTTGTTGCTGTGTTAGTAAAAGTACTTATGAATTTTCCCAGATAAAATCCACTGCCCTCTTTTGTGAAGGGACATGTTAAAAATATAATAAAGCTATGAATTTAATTTAAATATGGAGAATGAATAATTTAATACAACTTAGAGGTCAATAGTTTTTTTATAGATATGATTTATGACAGAATGTTATCACATTGTTTGGTTTGGTCCATGTAGCCACCCACTTCTAGTGGTAAAAAGACTTTCTTGGTCCATGTAGCCACCTTCAAAACATCTGCTGAAGTTATTTTTGTAATGATAACAGTATGTGGGTGCATTCATAAGAATTAGGAAAATTCAATGATGTTGAGTTTATAGCATAATTTGTTTACTGGACAGTATGAAGTCATGCTTTCCATATATACAAAGCTTTTGATATTTATGAAATGCGTATATAGCTTGCAACTAAATTGGTTTAGTGGTTACTTGTGCTACATCACTAATGCAGGTTTCACGCATGCTGCTTTTACTTTTGGTTATGAAGCTGGTATCAACAAATCCTCCATCGATGGAAATTTAGTGCCACAAGGTGCTCTTGTTACATTTGTTCAGAAGGGTCTACAGTACTTTGAGATGGAAGCCAACTTGAGTAATGTTAGCATTTTCTACTTTTGCATTCTTGATTTATTATCATTATCCATTTGAGTAGTCATTTCTAAGCTTTTATACCCTAGGTATCATGTTGATCAATGTTTCTTTTAAGCCTGCCAGTGTGATGCAGACCTGGAAGAAGATTTTTCATTCTTACAACCTTTGGATATTATCACGAAAGATGTGCATGAACTTAGGCAAATAATAAGTGAAAGAAGGAAAAAACTACAGAAGGAAAGAAAGAAAGAAATAGAAAAGGAGCATGAAGGTGAACGTGTACGGGCAAGAGAAAAGGAAAGACGTGAAAGAGAAAAAGAAGTTGAAAAGGATAGACGCGAAAGAGATAAGGAGGTTGAAAGGGAGAGACGTGAAAGGGAGAAAGAAGTCGAAAGGGAGAGGCGTGAAAGGGAAAAAGAAGTTGAAAAGGAGAGGCGTGAAAGGGAGAAAGAAGTTGAAAAGGAGAGGCGTGAAAGGGAGAAGGAAGTTGAAAAGGAGAGACGGGAAAGGGAGAAAGAATGTGAAAAGGATCGAGAGAAGGTAGAAACAGATAAAGAGCGAGAACAACAACATGGAGATCAGATCGTCAGAGACATGGCCATAGATCATGAAGATAGGGTTCCCGTGAAGCATGAAGAGAATGGAGTGGTTGGAGGTAATGTGCTGCTCAGTGGAAATGGCTTGCATTGTCTTATGTAGAATATGTTCTTTCTGCATGTTTGGTACTTGGCTACATTTTCTTATTGAAATCTATCCTAAATATCTTATTCAATTAATTTTATTTTACTTTGTTATCCTTTATTTTTGTTCATCTTTACATGTTTCTATCATTGCTTGCTCCTTCTAAATTTATAATATATTTGCTTGCACATTATGGTTAGTTTATGAAGCAAGTGTGGTTTAATGATTAATGATAAACTTCTAGAATAATAGCCCCTTGATATTGTAGTTTGTTTGGAAATATGATTCTTTTAAAAGGATTTTATCCATTTATTTGAAATTGCTTATCATGGTTGCATTTTTTTTTTCACCACGAGTCCCTTGCCCCAAAATGCTGTTAATAAGAGTATTTCATTGTCTGTTACTGTAGTACATAAAAATACATACCAATGGTATATTTCAATTACCTCCTTCATTGGATTTTTTTCATTTGCTTTAATTTAGGGCCCGAACCAATGGACATCTCTACGACATCATCTTCTCAGCTATGTGAAATTCCTAGTTCGTGTGTGACAATTTTGGAAGGTCATACTTCAGAGGTTAAGTATTTCTTCAATGTTGCTTTTGTTTGTAAATTTTCTTTTCATCTAGTGGTTTTTCTTATTTAAACTTTCTGTTAATCTTCATCTCTTAGGTGTGTGCTTGTGCATGGAGCCCTACAGGATCTCTTCTTGCATCAGGGTAGGCATCTAAATAAATGATTTAATTTATGAAACATCTATTAAAATGTGCATAACTTAATGGATAATGCACATAATATCCTGTTTGTGCATATTAGGTTTCCATTTCTAATGCCTCCAATTTAAACAGTTTGGAATTAGCTACCTTTATAGAGCACTATGGTAAATATAATTCCTGTTAGAAGTATCTAAAGATATTATCTTAGAATATTTTAGAGTATCTTAGTCTTAGATCATCTCCTATGATTTATTTTCTTTTCTGTTTTGATTCATTTCCTTATTTAATTAGGATCTTTTTAAGTATAGGAATATACTTGGTCCTGACTTTTCCCATATGCACTGGCCCGAAATTTTTCCTAGACACACTAGCCCTGACTTCATTTCAATTTTTATGTTTTTTTTTTTTTTAATTCATGTGGAAGTGAATTATTTTCTTGCAACAAGCTAAAACTTAGTAAGCTCAGATTGAGGAAGAGTGTTAGAAATATTTAAAGACATTATCTTAGAATAGTTTTAGAGTATCTTAGATGATATCCTAGGATTTTTTCTTCTTTTATATTTTGATTTATTTTCTTAGTTAATTAGGATATATGATTAGAATCAAATTTATTAGAATATGATGTATAGACATATCATATAATTTAATAGGAATAAAATATACTATAATTTTCTGTATTTATTATCATCAGTTTATAAAAAATGAACTCTGTTGTGTGGTCCAGACATGCCATTCTCAACATCTCTTCCATCTATTTTTCTCTCTTTATAATTCCTAAATAGCAATCTAGGATATAAGGGGTTCATATGGTGGTCCCATGATCGATTTCTGCAGCATTAAAATAATGCTTGGCTAGTGGAAGCCATGCTTCACAAGTAGATATTAGTCTTTGGTTGTCAGTTTTGGGATACTGTATGGACATATCCATGAACCAAAAAAAAAAACGTAGCACTTCCCATCATAGATTTCAAGAAGAACATTCAAACAATTTAATTTATTTAATGATATCCAATTATTTACATTCCGACAGAGATCCCTTAAGCCTTTTATTTTCAGTTGCACCCAATACCCGTGCTTAACTATTACTGAAATAAAACGCCTAGGGGATCTCTGTTTCTATAGTTCTTTTTTGGGCCATTTAAAGCCTTCTTTTTGAAAGTTATAGATACAAAAGTTGGATTGGATTTTCTGTCTTTTTCTCAATCATACTTTGCATATGGGTTATGTAAGTTATGTATTGTCTATGGTTAAGAATTTGGTAAACTGTGACAGACATTTGGGAATCAAGAATCATATGAATTTTGCAATTTATTCATTATGAAACTTACAGAATTTTACACTAGATGGATGCAGGGTAGCACATTGTTAGTTTTTGTTATAATGTTTTGCTTTATGATATTAATAATATTATTTCACTTTACCATGGTCACTTGAACTTTAGATCTGGGGATTCGACCGCTCGGATTTGGACAATAGCAGAAGGGAGATGTAAGCCTGGTTCACATAATGGCCCTTTGAGCGTGTTGGTGTTGAAGCATGTTAGGGGTAAAACAAATGAAAAAAGTAAAGATGTTACTACACTTGACTGGAATGTGAGTTCAGCTGCATATTATGATTTAAATTTAGGACAACTACTTTCATATCTATGTTTTAATACCAAATCTGTTTCTGTGGTTAACTGTGAGAGGTCCGTAAATTTGAATCATAATTCATAAGAGTTTACTTCATTTAAAAATTATTAAATACCTATAAATAACATTACGATTGAACATTTTAATTCCATAATAATGCATAATATTAAACCTCAATGATAAAGTAACAAAGTAGTTCATTACTACTCAATAGGTTCAAGCAACATGAAATAAAACATAAGTTTGTACAACACACAACAGTGCAGGTAGAAGATTGTGCCGTTTGCTTGAGTCTGGATGTAGAGAACAAATAGTGAACAGATAAGGGATGCAGGATGAGAGTCGTCCTTACAAGCAGAGAGATGGGCATCAAGATGAGAGGTCACCAATAGCGAAGAGAAACAGTAAATAGATGAGTGTCTTGAAGAACCCTAATCTCGGGTCTTTTCCTTTTATCCATTTCCCATGCCAAACACAAAGGGGCGTTGTTTACCTTTAAAAATAAAGGCACTTGAACATGCCGAGTTTGGTCTAGTTTACCACAATACCACCGAGTCCACTCAAAAATGACTCTACAAGCAAGTTAACACAGAACATGGTAGTGGACTGGGAACTCGTACGTTTTTAGAGTTAAAACTCGAGTTTGATAACCATGGTAACAAGTATAATATATATACTATAAGATGCTATACAAAATTTATTACCATATATAAATAAGAATTATTTACAAATAAGATGTTATACTATAAGAGTTGCTGTTAGATAAGCTAAAGTTGTAAGGACCACTCTTTGAACCAACATGTTCTAATTTAGATAGTTACAACATTTTATCTTTCTATAGGGGAATCCAATTTTAAAATCAGTTTTGATGTTTTGTTGGAAGTCTCACATCGCCTACCTCATATCATTTGGTATGGTTTAAATACATGTTAGGCTACTTCACATATTGCCAATTGGTTTTGTGTTGGAACCTTAACATGGTATCAGAGTCAAAGCCTAACATCTTTCCGGTTATTGTCATGGGTCAAAAGTTGCCCTTTAGTTGGGTCAAAAAGTACCATTTGCCTGGTCCGACAGGCTTCGTTGGAGGGGGCGTGTTGGAAGTCCCACATCGCCTACCTCATGTCATTTGGTATGGTTTAAATACATGTTAGACTACTCCACATATTACCAATTGGTTTTATGTTGGAACCTTAACAATTTTTTTAACCAAACTAATTTGAAATTTTTGACTTGCATAATTGATTCCATCTTGTATCATTTTAAGTTGGTTTTAAAAGTTGGCAAATACCTATAGTTAAAAAGAGTGTAAAGTCTAGTTAAAATTTTTACATTGTATTTTTCTTCCTTTCGTTTTGCTTCTTTCAAATGGTTTCAGAACATTTATGTTGAAAGTCTCACATTGCCTACCTCATATCATTTGGTATGGTTTAAATACATGTTAGGCTACTCCACATATAGCCAATTGGTTTTATGTTGAAACCTTAACATGGTATCAGAGCCAAAGCCTAACATCTTTCCGGTTATTGTCATGGGCCAAAAGTTGTCCTTTAGTTGGGTCAAAAAGTACCCTTTGCCTGGTCCGGCAGGCTTCGTTGGAGGGGGTGTGTTGAAAGTCCCACATCGTCTACTTCATATCATTTGGTATGGTTTAAATACATGTTAGGCTACTCCACATATAGCCAATTGGTTTTATGTTGGAACCTTAACAATTCAATTTATTGTCTTGATTTTTTAACTCCCATTTTGCAGTGGGAAGCAACCAGCCTTTGTTTCAAAATTATTGTTGCACCCTTTATTCAGTAATATTGCTGTCTATGTGCCTGAGAAGTGAGAAAATATGATTGAAAATTATCTCTTCCCAGATATACTTCATGAGAAACAAGCTTGATGCTATATTAGTTTTTATTACATTCTTCTACGAAGGCATGAAGTGGTTGCTTTATATTCTATCATAACTCTATGTTCTCCCTCTTCTCTTTAAAGTTTGAACTGCTAAAAATGATATCTTGTTCTTTCGGATGCTAGTTCTGTTTTAAATGTAGCTGGATGAGTGCATATTTCCAATTGAAAGCTAATATAAATCTGTTTATATATTGAAAAATTCTGGCAACTCATCTAATACTCTCTTTCTCACATACTCGTCTATTGGGTGAAATTTATGAGGGCCCCTTTCCCAAAGTAGTGGGACAGACATGAATTTTCAACAAATAAGAGGGCGTAATGGAAAGACAATATTTTAAGAGTGTCACATGTACTTCTCTTGTATCTCTTACTCTGTTTTCTTCCTATATCCTCTCAAATAGAATTTATTTCCTGTAAAAAGAAAGAGCAAACTACTTTAATTTCTGCTTTATTTTTTGAAATGAACATCCGTTGAATAGGGGAAGTTTGCGAAAATCATAACAAACAAGGGTGGGCTGACTGTTGTGTAAGGTTTATAGGGGATATTTTATTATGGTTCGTGTCAGGTTTGTATAGGTTATTAGAACAGTGGAAAAATATATGTAAAAATCAAGACGTTAGAGGGAATATGAAAATACGCTTTGGTATCTTTTTGTCTGAAAATAAACTCTTGGTAAGCCTTCCCTGCTTAGGTATTATTGTTAAAACTCATGAGATTTTTTTCAAGGTTATCTGCAATATTTGCTAGCAACTCATATGATGGAGTGTTCACACTGGTGGCTGTCTTACAGGTGGAGGGGACACTTCTTGCAACTGGTTCATATGACGGGCAAGCAAGAATTTGGACCACTAATGGTAGGTCATTCTTTTGTATCCTTAGATTCTCTAGTAGCCTTTAGAATTTTCAATTGATGAGATAAAAGAACTAGAAAAATACCTTGGAATCATATTTTTGTAAGTATTCATTTGATTTACAATCATGATAAAAAAATAAATTCAATTTTGCATAGTGTAGGTTGGTACAAGTTTTACTAAAAGTCAGCAGCTGTTGCTTGATTTGTATTTATTATTTGTTTGAGGGAATGTATGAGGAACACCAAGCGAATTCATGTTAGATTGATCTTGATGTAAATCCATGCATGATTGTTACACGAGACAAATTATTGAGAGAACTTGTGTTAGGATACACTCATGTTCTGGTCATTAACTTATTATTTATTGTTTTAAATTCAGTTGGAGTATAATCTAAGCAGAGAGCTGACAGAACACTATCTTTTAGTTACTGGAAATTATTTATTCTAATCTAATTAAAATAGAGTTGACTATATATTTTAACATTACCACTACTGTTCTAATACCAGTAGAGTGGGTTATTGGTCTGGTAAACAGTTAATTATGTAGTAGCTTGGTTATACAATTGTGATTTTCTCTGTCCAAAATGATTGGGGAGGAACATGAATCTTGTGTAATGTTTTTCATTCACAGAATTGATTTAACAAATGTTTTGATTTGTCTTCTAAGGATATTAACTTTTTTCTTACAATTAGTAGTTAATGCATGTCTGAGTATGCACATATTTTTTAACTTGTATGGGTATTAATGTCTGATTTTTATAGTAGCATTCATGCTATTTGTAAAATGAATGAGTTCTATTGTTGATTTTTTAAATAGAATCTGGGTGTAATTGAAATTTCTTTAGGTTTTTTTACTCTGATGCTATCTATGACTAGGTGAACTGAGGAGTACATTAAGCAAACACAAGGGACCAATATTCTCTCTGAAGTGGAATAAGAAAGGCGATTATCTCCTCACTGGAAGTTGTGATCAAACTGCAATTGTGTGGGATGTGAAGGCAGAGGAATGGAAACAACAATTTGAATTTCATTCAGGTGAAAATGTAGAATGAATGGAAAGTGAGAAATTTCTCAGTCATATTTATGAATGATTGTTTAATTTGGGCTTGATATGTTGTTTAGGTCCAACACTTGATGTTGATTGGCGCAACAATGTGTCTTTTGCAACAAGTTCCACAGACAATATGATATATGTCTGCAAAATTGGAGAAAACCGCCCTATAAAGACTTTTGCTGGACACCAGGTCTGTACATGAGTTCTTATTTTGTCGAACAATTCTATAAGCTGGCTGATATTTTTCAATGCTGAAATTACATCCTATTATGAGGAAGGGTTCATCCCCTACATTCTTCACAAGTTTAAAATATCCAGCAAGGTTAACTATATAGATCTGTGAATAACTGTGGGCTGCTACTTTGACTCCTTGAGTTGGTCTACTATTTAGTGTTATTAAATTGACCACCACTATAAGAATTATTTGGGTAACTAATTTATTTTGTAGTTAGGTTTTGATCAGGTAAAATCCCACTTAACTAGATTATAGGATCGACTTGGTTGCATTTTTTGTCAGTTTTGACTGAGGTTATTGAAGCATCAAAGATCTGAATTTTATTTATTGAGTGTTCAGAAAGCAATAGTTTTAGATGTTTTCATTTGAACACAATATAGTGATTGAATATTTATTTATATTACATCTGCTAATGATCTGACTGCATTTTCAGGGTGAAGTCAATTGTGTCAAATGGGATCCCACAGGTTCATTGCTGGCCTCCTGTTCTGATGATATCACAGCAAAGGTGATAGTTGACCTTTGAGTAACCAACCTTTTGATCTTATTTAATATTAGGGAAAACTCAAGTTCATACTGACTAGAGAAAAGGCTAATAAGTAGAGGACAAATCTTGTTTTACAAACCTATGTTGTGAGATTAAATTAAGTTCAAACTTAGATTTTAAGATTATCAAAACGTATCGGAAATTTGTAATTGGACTATCTACCATATAACTCATGCAGCAAGTCCAATTGTGCTAAGTTTAAGCAGACATTTTTGGATAAACCTAAGTGTCACTGACCGTAGATAAAGCCAAATACAATGTATAAGTGGAGGAAAACTCAAATCAGTTTTGTAAGATTAAATTAAGTCCAAGTTCACATTCTAAGATCTATGTTCTTTTCATACTAATATATATATTTTTTTCTAATACAGCTGGCTTTTTTTTATATACTTTTATAAAATTATTTATTGTCTGAGAAATACGAAGTTATTTTTCACAATGCTGTATGTTAGTTTCATGTTCTTGTTTGGATTGGATATATGATTGTTTTGTAGATATGGAGTATGAAGCAGGATACATATCTTCATGACTTAAGGGAGCATTCCAAGGTACCCTGAGTTGTTTGTTTTCCAGTGTCTTCCATTTGTGTTTGCATTTGTAATTTCAATTCTTGATGCACATTCTGCATGTTTTTGAGAAAACTAAATAATTTGCTTTGTAGGAGATATATACCATCCGATGGAGCCCCACTGGTCCTGGTACAAATAACCCTAATCATAAATTGGTGTTGGCCAGGTATGTTAGTTTCATGGTGAAATTAGGTTCACCATTCGTGATTTAAATACATGCATTTATGTATGGTTTCTCCAAACTGTAGAATTTTGATTTACCTTTTTCTGGACCTCAGAATCCTAGTTGATGGATGTGTACTTTATTTCTTCAATTGGTAATGTTGTGGTATCTTTGTATCTTGCTTTACACATTGTTAACTAAACTACGCAGATTAATGTTCGGTGGTGCCTTGAAATCGGTAATGTTGTTTGTTGCCTTTGGCAGGTTGCTGATTCCAATTGATTATATGTGTTCAGTTAGTGTTATACTGTTTGGACTCTTTGATTGACCGTCTCTCCATATAACATTCTTTTACTTAAATAAGGTTTATATTCTATATATTTGACTGCAGTGGTGGCGATTTTGTTACATTACTCTTTTAAACTTTTTGTAAATTATTCCCCCTCTTTACAGTTTGATTATGATGATGAGTGTCTGCTTGCTATTTTTCTTTTGTTGGATACGTTTTGGAAGCACAAATGTTATCTTACCGTTTTTTCCAAAAACATCTGTCTTACAACCAGATATATTAATATAATATTATTATTTATCATTATATTATTATTTAGAGTTGTTTGTTGGATGTACGGGTTGTAAGTATATCAATCCTCTTTTGGAAGTTAGTATTCATTTTAAAAACATTGCGGTCATCTTCCATTTTTGCAGTGCTTCATTTGACTCGACTGTAAAGCTATGGGACGTGGAACTTGGGAAACTCATCTACAGCTTGGATGGACACAGGTACTGTTTTTATAGGAGTTTATTTATCTGAGGGTCTTCTGAGCTTTGGTTTATTCTTACGTGAGGGTACTCTATGTATATCAGCCTCTTTTCATTCTCTGTTTCGAAGTTGTACTTAGAGAGGCTGATCAACATGCCGAACCTTCAATTTGAGGGTTCACTAATGCTAGACCATTATAAAACTACGTTTTACATGTGGAAAACATCAGGCAGATTGAAAATAGGCACTTAGGGCCTGTTTGATTGCTTCTCACTTTTTTTAATAGTGTTTTCAAAACAATTCCACGCTACTCAGCGATCAATTTCCGATCCAAAATTTATTTTTAGAACATTGTTTCCAGAATAGAAATATGTTGGGACAAACACTTCCAAATGAGCTCGCACAAAACAAAAATCAGGAAATAAGCAAGGGCTTAGTTTCTTCTGCTCTTTTGTGTTTTTCCCTGATACATTATTCGGTTTTACAGGCATCCCGTATATTCTGTTGCTTTCAGTCCCAATGGTGAGTATTTAGTTAGCGGGTCTCTTGACAGATCCATGCACATATGGTCATTGAAGGAAGGCAAGATTGTCAAAACATACACGGGCAATGGAGGCATTTTTGAGGTCTGTTGGAATAAGGAGGGTGACAAGATTGCTGCATGTTTTGCTAATAATACAGTTTGCGTTTTGGATTTCAGAATGTAATATCTATTAAGATGGGCCAGTATATTAAATTATTTCTTTCCCACCCTTGAGATGAGATCGGTGGAAGTTTATTTTGGGTGGGTGGATAGGTTACCCATTTTAACCGTAGTTGTTGTAGGTATAACTCATTATTCGTGGATCCTGTTGTAATTTGCTATAACATAAGTAAAAGGTAGTTAGTAGGAGTGTATTAATAAGCAAAATGTATAGATTTAGTTGGATAATATCCTGTATAAGTACCGCTTGACTTGTGTATTTTGTGTCTACTACTTGTCTTTCTCTTCCATCGATTGTTGTAAATGCCCTTCATTTCGGCCCCTTTGATGTATAAAGGATAGTTATAAAGGAAATGTGAAAGGGAAGGTTCTTGGTAAATAATATCGTGTTTAACAGCTCGATTAAAGGATGGAGGAAAACAAAGCAGTCTCCACCTTATTATTGGGTCCTACACCACCACATCATCTATACTGCAGCCAACACGGGAAAGTAAATAATAACATTGAGCATGACTCAACTTACGTAATAATAGTGTTGAGCAATGTGATGGATAGTAATGAACATGGAGAAACATGTGGCTTGACTCAACTTAATTCCATTAGGAGTATCTACGATAAATTTTAGAAAATAAAAATATTAATATTCTAATGGGTCTTTTATAAAATCATTAAATTATAAAAAATAATTAAATGACAAGAATAAAAAATAAATCATTACCTCGTATGTGAGACCTTTGGTCGTAAAACCCAGACTCGAGGTAATTATTCATATCTTTATGTTCGCTAGATGACAATTGTTTATGAACAATTATGTTTGGTGAGGAATAGGAAGGATTTTAGTAACAATTGCATTTATAAAATTATAAATAGTTATTGTACAGTAGAGACTTCTCTTTTAGAAGAAAGGAATTTTATGGACGTAAAATAGGTTCACCAGTAATCCGCACATGAACATGAACCGTTCTCAAAGTGGTGGAACCGGTTCCGGTCTCTCATTATTATTTTTCGGCCTGAGATCTTGGACATTATCTTCATCACGGCATGACAATCCAAACACACTCGAAGGTTCTTTACAATCTTGATTGCAGTTCCTGGACTGCTACTTATAAGCCCAAATGCTAAGGCCAGCTTCTCACTATGAACTTCCAACGATTGTTCTTTTTGTTGCTCCCCTATATCATGTAATACCACATCTATTTTTGGGGTATAACCACACGCCTTAAGCCAACCATTCATTTCCTCGAGCATAGCATAAATATCCTTGCGCCTCCGGTGTCTTAAATCACCAGCAAGAAACTCGTGCACCCTGTTGTTAACTTCAATGGAACTACAACCAGGTTCCTTCTCAACCCCACTCCCTTTCATCAATGATCTGACCTTAGCCACACCAACCCAGTTACGAGCAGCAGCATACATGTTAGAAAGAAGGACATAAGTCCCTGAACTAGCCAAATCATTGTTCACAAGAAACTCCGCAATTTCCTCTCCCAAAGAAACATCCTTATGGATTCTACAAGCCCAAAGCAAAGTCCCCCACAGGACAGGATCGGGCTCAACCTCCATGCTCATCACAACGTCATAAGCTTCTCGCACGCGCCCAGCACGGCCAAGAAGATTAATTATACACCCATAATGCTCAATCTTTGGTTCCATTCCATACTTATCCTTCATCAAATGGAAAACCTCCCACCCTTTCCCTACCAAACCAGCATGCGCACATGCAGTTAGAACAGCAACAAAAGTAATCTCTGAGGGTCTCACTCCAACACAACGCATATCATGAAACAACTGCAAAGCCTCGTCACTAAACCCATGTATGCCATACCCCATAATCATGGAGTTCCAAGCCACCACATCCTTTCCCTCCATTGCATCAAACACCTTGCGTGCATCCTCCAAACTTCCACATTTGCAGTACATATCAACCAACGCAGTATACACATGTACGTTTACCTTGACCCCAACCCCAACACCATTATTATCAACATACGAATGCACCCACCTACCACACTCCAACGCACCAAGCTGACCACAAGACGACAAAACAGCCAACACAGTTATCTCATTGGGCCTAATCTTCTTCCCCAGCATTTCCCTAAATAGCACCAAAGCCTCATTCGGACACCCATGCTGAGCATACCCATCAATCATCACGTTCCAACACACCACATCCTTCACTCCCATCCCTTCAAACAACAACCGCGCCTCCCGGAGCATCCCATGTTTCGCGTAGCAAGTAAGCATGGCAGTAAACGAAACCAAACTCCTCTCAGGCATTGCGTCGAACAGCTTCTGCGCGGACACAACATCGCCGCCTCTAGCGTAGGCATCCACTAGGCTCGTGGACACGTAAAGGTCGAAACTTAGTCCCAACTTAACGGCGTGGGAGTGAACGGCTCTGGTGGGTTGGAGGGTGCAACCTTTGAGGAGGGAAGAGAGGGTGAAAGCGTTGGGTTGAACATGATGGGCAAGCATTTGGGCGTAATAAGAGAGGGCACAGTCGCAGAGACCAGAGTTGGCATGGGCGTTGATGATGGTGGTCCATAGGAAAACATTAGGGGCTGGGGTGTTGTGGAAGAGGGTGACAGAGTGGTGGAGGTGGCCGAGGGATGTGTAGGAGCGTTGGAGCTTGAAGTTGAGGATGGGGTGATGGTTGAGGCCCCGACGGAGGAGTGCGGCGTGGATTTGGAGAAGGTGGTTTATGGATTTAACGTTGTCGATTAGGAGGGCGAGGTTGTCTACCTGAGCTGAGGTTGAGGTTGAGGTTGCCGAGGGTGGTGGATTCGTCAATAGAGTGACTGTGATTGACTTCATCTTTGTTTATACAACTTATGATTCAATTGCATGCATGGCCATGCTATGCCAGGTTTCTTTTTATTTATAATTTACCTTAGCTACTAAAGTTATTTAATTTATTTATAAAAATATTATAAATCAATGTTGAAAGGTACTAATAGACTAGAAAATTTCAATAGTGAATATTTTATTTTTTGGATCACTAGACTATTCATAATGTCATTCAATTTTTTTGTTATTACATAGCTAATTAGTTTTATCTTTTAAAAAAAATATAAATTGAATAAATTGTATCACTTATTTTATATTTTATGCTTATAGACATTTATATAACCTATCATTATTTTTTACCCATTAGAAATTTATTTGATGGAACATGTAACATTTAAACTAAAATATTACTTTTTCTGTTCTTCCCTTAACTAAGATTTACATGATAATTAAGTGATCACCAAAACCAAATAATTTAAAAAAGTTATTAAGCAGCAAATCAATAAAGTCTTATATCTCACAAGTGAAAGAACCTGAATTAGTGAGAAACACAAAATTAGAAGACACTTTCTTGCATCCCATAATTTTATTTTATTTTTTCCTGTATCTTCTTACCCCATTTTTTTTTTAATTATATAAAAATATTTATAATAAATTTCATATATTATTTTTTACTTTTTCTTTTTTTCTATTTTCATATTTTTATCTTTCTTATTCACCTTTTCATTTTTCTACTTCAACTTTTAATTTTATATTTTTATATTTTATTCATTACTTATATACATTCGTATTTTTCTCTTAACATAAATATTATAAATATGTATCTTTAGTTTTCAATTTTTTTCTTTTTTATAATTTCATTTCTATAACATAAAATTTATAACTTTTTATTTCATAGTTTTTTTTTTCTTTTATTCAAGAAAGCACAGAACAAAAAAAAAGAAAAAAAAGAAATACCTCATAATAATTTAAAAAAAATAAAAAATAGTAGACAAAATTATTTTTTAATTTTTATAACAAATTAGCATGTGTAGTGTAATATTTTATTTATTTATTTATTATAAATTAGTTAATTATTTTAATATTTTATAATATTTTAATTTGATGTTAAAACGTCAATATCTAAAAATAAAATTATGGATTTAGTTTTTAAAAATAAAAGATGATAGATAAAATAAAATTTATTTTCTAAAATTTAAATTTAATTTATAATATTAAATATATAATAATTTTATTTTTATACGTGACATCTATACGTTGGCCTTCTCGTCTAAATCTCCTGGTTTCATCCCTACATGAATATCTTTGAATAATTTTTGTTTCAAATCTTAAAACCATTTTTTATTTTCTGCACCTCCACCATTAGGCTTCTGTAGGTCCACAAATATGTAGATTCGGTTTGTTCTTTTATTACCTCTAGTTTGTTAATATTTAAAGGTGACTAATTGTTAATATTACATATTTATGATATGTTGTTTATATATTGAGATTTAAATTGTTTGATTTAAAAAACTTTCTCAAAAATCAAATTGAGTTTGAAAATATATTTTTGGATTGAATTTTTTAGAAATACATTTTAAAATACCAAATTCGAAAAGGTAGATTCATAACAAGATTTCAAAAAAAAAAAAAAAAACCGTGGAAACAATTTTCATTATTAAATTAATTTTTAAGAAACACATTTTGAATTGATGGGTCTGAATTACATTTTTAGAATCTTCAGTATATTTAAGACCCACCAATCGAAAATGTATTTCTGAAAAATCAATTTTAAATATATATTCCATAACTTATTTCTAGAATTTTTTTTTCAGAAATGTATTCTCAATTTCCAGTCTGAAATGTGTTAATAACCAAAAATCTTTTTACGTGAATACTGCACATGATAAAAAAATTTGATACAAATTAAAAACAATTCGACATTCCTACTTGTTTCTTGCAATTGTTGAGATAACAGAAAAAGGAAGAATGACAATGTTTTAGGGTTTAAAAGTCAGACATTCAAATGTTTAAAAACAAAAACTAAACATTTATAAGATAAAGATAAATGTAAGCATAAAATAAAATTTAATTTAATTATATTATGGGAGTTCATGAATAAAGTGCCAATTAGAATTGCTAAACACAGTCATATTTCAGTCCAAGATGAGGGTTCCTGGGCCCATGTAAAGCTGTATGAAGTTTATAGAAGTTGGAAACCCTAAACCATAGTACAGTCCAATAGCAAACAAAGGAACGAGCCATGATGGGGGATTGATTTTTTAAATGTATTTTTGCTAACGGTTAAATATTCTAGAAATTAGTCTCCCAAATTTAATATATTCTGATTTTTTTTTTTGTGGATGTTAAAATTTAATTCATTCCGAAACTAAGATTTGAGTTTTAAAATTTAGTTTTTAGAAACCCACATTCAACAATGGATTGTGTTACCATTTTCACTTTCAAGTAGGGATGAAAAAACGGGTTAGGTCCAAGCAGGCCGCAGCCCGCCATAATATGGCGGGGCGGATTGGTGTTTTCAGCCCACCATCCCGCTTTGACCCGCCCGCCAAGCCCGCCAACCCGTCGGGCCAACCGCAGGACGGGACGGACCAGCCCGCGGCCGCCTAATTAATAAAAAAATATTTTTTTATTGTAATAAAATTAATTACAAAGATAATATATAAAGTTAAAAATTTTTAAATGAGAATTAAAAAAGTTTCATTCTCACAAAAAATATTCTCCTTCCCGAAATATAACCTTCTCTCTTGTTCTCCTTATTTATCCTAAGCATCGATTATTTTTATTCTTATTACTTGAATTAAAGGTGTAAGGATTATTCAACCAAGAATAATATGAAGTTTTATCAAATAAAAAAGATATAGGTATTTGAATTTTTCAATATAAAAAATATAAATTTTATAAGTTTAACGTTATTTATATATATATATATATATATATATATATATATATTTGTTATTATTTATTATTATGTAAAATTTATTATTGTTCTAAATTATAATTTCTTAAAATAATGTATTGATTTATATTATTAAATTGAAATAATATATATATATATATATATTTAATTATTGACAAACAAATAATAATCTTATTATTAAATTTATTAAAAAAAAATATTTTTTCTAAATTATGGCGAGCCGACTCGCAATTCGCTAACCTGCCTTTGACAGGACGGGCCAAGGTCTACAACCCGTCATGACTATATCGGGCCAGCCCGCCCCGCTTTTGGCGGGCCAAAGACGGGGCGGACTGACCCGTTTTGCCATCCCTACTTCCAAGAACATTTTGACAATCATATATTTTTGAATTCGAAGCTAATTTTATTGCATCTTCATCGGCATGATTCAAAGACAATTTCTTTCCGCAATAGTCAGTCCTTCGTCATTTCAGGGGCTTGAGCTCGAAAATGGTGATTTCACATTAATCTTTCTCACTTTTAACAGGAAAAAGAATCCCTAATCTCAAAATAAATTATGTATAAAATATTTAAAAAGTAAACTAAGTTTTTCATCATATGCTTTGTGGACATATCAAGCCACATTTTCACCCTATTTTTCTTTGTTCAATTTATTGCGATTAATATAAAATTTTATTTTGATGATGATGATTATACTACTTCTCTTGAATTTTAACAACCCCTCCTACTTTTTCCTTTACTTTCAATTGGTTTTATCTTATATGATGACAGTATTTACAAGCATGATTAATAAAAAAATTTCAAAATAAGTTACAGTAGATAAAAAAAAAAGACAATAGAATTTTGCTAAAATACATTTAAGTGTAATTTTATTTTTTAATTCATTACACCAAGAAACATTACACTTTAAACTCCTTCATCTTTATGTAAAAAGTTTATTTATGACTCTTTTCATCAAAAGCTGAAAATTCTCTGAAACTGTTTACAAATATATTGTCCTCGACAGGAATATATAAATGTTTTATTAAAGTCTATGGAGTGTAAGTTTAATTGGGCTTTTAAAGAAGGACAAATTTAGTATTTTTCTCATATTTTGTATTAGTTAGGATGTAACATATTGATTTCTAGATATAATATTGATATTTATTGTGATACGAAAATCAAATTTTGCTTATTTTTTATTCTTGATTTTTATGTTCAGATACACTCTAACGAATGATAATTTTTATATATTTTTTCTCTTAATCCATTGAATCATTTAAGAATAAAATTATAATAGATAAGAGTTTTTAAATAATAATAATTCGAACATAAAAATTAACCTAACGATATAAGAATACGATTTCGGATACTCTCAATCCCAGCTACTTGGAAACAATTTATTCAATTTTTAGAAAATTTAATAAGAAATTAAGAATGAATAATTTGAGAAAACTAAACTCAAGGAAAGACCATTTTTATAATAAGATAAAGTTAGTCTGTTAATAAAAGATGAACTTCAGTGGAAAAAAAAAGGAACTATTATTAAATGATAATAAGGAGTATTGAAGCTCGTTTGCAAAAGTTGACAACGCACATGCATGTGCATAAATAAGTAAACTCATAAACTAATAATAAAAAAATTACATTACCACTGACAGCGTAGAACCAAGTTCAATACCTCATATTAATTAACCACTCTCCAACGAAACAAATTTGTCTTTGTAAAATTATTTAAGTAGTTGGTAATGTTTAAATCTGGACGAATAATCATTAATTAATGTTTAAAGTTTCTAAAAATTAATAAAAAAAATCAAAAGTAAGCTACATTAATTAAACACTCACCAAGTAACTTGTTAATCTTATCTCTGTACAACGTTTTCAACTGATAAATAGTTTATTACAACCATTTGCTTGTACTGTGAAATCTCAATCGCACAAGAAATTGAGTTCGTATCTTTTGTAATTCAGCGGAGAAAATAAAACTCATGCATCTTGGCTTTAAGTTTTGCCAGTGGATGGGTAGAACACATTTACATCCCTCATTTCTGCCATATTATACATATATTTCTAACTTTTTTTTTCTGCTAATAAATACTACACAACCTATTTTTCTCTGATCTATCTT